TCGGTGGACTTAGTTTAACAGACACAGTAATAAAAAATAATCATGATAAAACGAAAAATAATTTCATGAAAGTAAAAGAAATTCATTCCATGACTGAATCTCAGACTCGCACGAATAAATTTAAAAACAACGTAGCTAAAAATAAGAATTCTAAAGCTTCATCTAGAAAAGCGAGGAAACGCCTTAAAGTTAAATCAAGGCTTCACACAGGAATAAAGTCTGGATCTCGTTTGAAAGTTAGATCATCAGCTTCACCACCTAAATCAGGTTTACGAAATGCTACTCAACAGAACTGTAGAACAGTATTAGGATTAAGCACAACTAATTATCACGAAAAAGCAATCCAGGAGTCTAATTTTTCAGAAAAGAAAGAACAAATGTCTTTTTCAAAAGAACTTGAAAAACACGGTTTGCCTACTGAAAAGGAAATAATAGAACAAAATTCACCTCAAAGGGATGATTTTGAAATGAATCACATCATCAAGCAAAATTCTGTCTCTGAAGAACCAACTATCAACAGAGAAAGTTTACAGATCAATGATACTGAGCGAGACGAACAGCAATACTTATCCAACAATAAAGGATTTATAAAAGCTAACAAAACTCCCAAATATTTTCTTGAAGAAATCACAGCACGAAATTTGTCTGATAAAAATGATTCAGAAATAATCAAAATGCAGATGTCAGCCTTTAAAAAATCAAATGTGTATAGTGGAAGGCAGAATTTAGAGAAGTCCAATATTATGCAAGATATTATTTTAAAAGATAAAGGGCAAAATTTATCCATGAGAGTAGATTTTATAAAGACTGGCAATAAGCACGAATTTATTCCACAAGAAATTCCAAAGCAAGATTCATTGGAAGTAAAAATTATTTTCATAAATGGCACTGGGCAGCAATTTAATTTGGAAAAATCCAATTGGCAAAAATTGTTAGATGGTGAAGAAGTTAACATTGAGCAAGTTTTTTCAGAAGTCAAACAGCAAGATTTATTCAAAAACAAAAGCTTAATAAAAACTGATAAAAAGCAGGAATTTATTTTAGAAGAAATGACAGATTAAAATTTTCAGGCCAAAAGCAATGACCTTACAAAGATTGAAGGGATTGGTAAGCAAAAGATGTTCCGGTAAATGGCATTGAGCGGCAATCAATTTTTGAAAGAACTAAAAGGCAAAGATTGTTAGACAGAGAAGAATATAAAACCACTCATAATGAATGGCAGTCTGAGTCTACATGTGAAAAGTTCAACTTAAACTTTAATCAGGATGCAGATGCTGATAAAATGGCGTCCTGCAATTCACTTTCGAAACAGACGAAGAGCTTCGTCGAAACGAGAATTAGAGATTTGGAACTGATTCTGAATAGAAATTTATGCATTTTAACTTTCAAATGATAAGTAATGAAAACGGAAAATGGTAAATTAAAAATGTAACAAAATAGTTTCAGTAGAGATAAATGAGCTGATTTTTTTCTCATTATACCCTGTTGTGAAAAAATCTGCAACATAAATTCAAATACCCTTTCAAAAAAAAATAATAATAATTTTTGTTTTTAAATAATACAATTAAAACTTGTTTGAAATTGAATTTATTATTAAGATAAGCAGTGATTCTTTTTTTAATAAATAAAAATGTTTTTACTGAATATTAGTGATCAGTTGAATTTTATTTGTTCGTGTTACTTTTTGTGAAAAATATTAAAAAAAAATTTTTTTTTTAATTAGAAATTTTATTAAACTGATATCAAAGAACGTTATTAAAGACAAGATTTGAAAGGTGCAAGTGGCTGTTATTTTACTAAGGAAAAAAAAAAGATTTTCATATTGAAACTGCGTTAAAATGCAATTGATACAAATTTAAAAAAAAACTTTCTAAAATGAAAATATGAGCTTAATTAATCAAATATTCCTTTAATTCGTTATTACAGTAAAGAATAATTTATATTTAAGTTTTTTAAGAATGCAACAATCTTTATTAATCTTTCAAAATACTCATTATCCCTCAAAAAAAAAATAAAAAACAAGTTAACTCTAAAACACTTAACAACTGTTTTTTTTTTTTATTTATTTAAAGAAGAAGTGTTTTAATTGATGTATGTTGCTTTGCTAGAATTTTATCAAATAACCAAGTGCTGATTATCCGAATTGTATGCTCAAGAATTATGCGTTTTTATACCTACTTCACAGAAAAAAAAAAAAATCTTTTTTTTTTACTTTTAGAATATCTGAGAATGGTAAAAAAAAAGGCCTCGTTTTCCCTTGGTCACCTTGAAAAAAAGGCCTCACGTTTTTCCTTACCCAGTTTCAATGCGGGAGGCAAGTATAGTTTCTAATAAGGGTACAAGTGTCTAAAATTTAAAAAAATTATTACTTTTAAACATGCCATTTGTAATATGCACCAATCCTAAGTTTGGAAAAAGTGTCATGGTAAGTTACTTATTTTCAGAGTCATTTTTTAAAGTTGTCAAATTATCCGGATTTTTCGTTATCCGCTTCGGCTTTGCTCCCGATTGGTGCGAATAATCGGCGCTCTACTTTATTCTTGATTTCAAAATTAATATTCACTATTCAAAGTACCGATGATATGCAAAATTAAGGTTTAATAAACATACTTTTTGCGAATTAACTAGCTATTAAAAATTAAAATAACGATAGATTTAACATTTGCATTTCCTAAAAAAAAAAGTTGAGAAAAAATATTAGTTTGGGAAACCTTTCTGAATTTAAATAAATTGTTCCTTGAACAATGTAATTTTGTAAAAAAAGTTCTTTAACAAATATAATTCTATTTTATCAATAAAAAAAATTGTTTTTTTGAAAAAAAAATGCAAAATTTTGTCAACAATGTATACTAAGCACACCAAGCAATAAGTTAATCAGTGAAAACATTTATCAAACTCAATTAAGATTTTTTGACTATCATACCTAAAAAAATTGATTATTACTTATTACACTAGGTTTGTTTAATAATGTCCCTTTGGTTTAATGTTACAATTTAATGAAGAAAAAAAAGAAGAAATATTTTGGAAAACTATAATTGAAAATAATATACTCTACTTAGAATACCCCGCGCCTCCCCCCCCCCCCCAAAAAAAAANAAAAAAAAAAAAAAGTTATAGGAGAGACAATTTTTTAAACGTTGAAGGTACTTCTGACGATCTTTACTAATGTTAAAAAAAAAGTCCGAATAATAGGATCATTAAAGCGATGATTGAATTAAAAGATCTATTATGTCAATAGCTTTTAATCTTCTATCGCAAAAAAAAAAAAAAAATATAGACTGCTTTGTACATGTTTTCCCCTTGTATGGATGGTTGACTGAATGTAAACAATAGCAAGTTTCCTAAAATCTGAAGAAACTTCAGATCAGGTGTATCCCTCCACTTATGGTATGCTTACGAGGCAATGTGTGAACAGGCTTAATATTCTAGGAAGTTTTATTACTGTAATTTGTGCTTTAATTTACACGTGATTTTACCCTTCATAAGAGTTTCACTGCAATTTACAAATTTTCACCGCTCGTGAGCCTAAAACAAATTTAAGAAAATTAATATCATAACACGAATAAAGTGTAAGGTTTGCTATGTTTTGAGGTTGCCTTATTGAACTATTTGCAACCACAACGGCGGTTCTATGGCTTGACCTTTCTCTCTCCTCAGTAATATAGGAACGTACTACTAATATTTTGACCTTTCTTAATATTTAACGTATTTAATTATTTTTAAATTCACAAATTATTTTTAAAATTTCCACGACGTTTTCTTTTGGAACTATGTTCAATGTACTTTTCAGTTAAATATAGTTTCCAAAGTTAAAAGATTTTAAATCTATTTGAAAATTAAGACAGAAACTAAAGTATAGTTTGTTTATAAAAAAAACTCCCCTCGCCACTAAGTGTAAGGCTGTCTGTTCCTATGGAAACAAGAAATAGCGCATTTCAGCAAGGGGAGCTTCTTTTACCCCTGATCCCTTTTCTCCCACAGACCGGAGACAAACCTCTCTTAAATAATGACCCAATTACTTGAAATAGTTAAAGCTCGTAACCATAGTCACCACCACTATTCCAGACAAATGGCTAGGGGTGTACTTTACATAGACAAACTATACTTCTCCTACGACTCTCCACACTCTAATGGTAAAAGCATGATTGCAAAGTGTTGCATAGGTAGAGAGTTCTGCTCTACGCCACCCGTAGCCCATTTCGATCGACAATAGTTGTGTATAATATCACCGTTCGATACAAACAGTGATAACGGTATAAACGAAGTGAATCAGAAGCCTTTTTTTTTACCATACAAGAACAAGTTTTTTTCTGTTCAGTGAATCCATAGCTACAGAAAATGAGAAATATATGCATTTTTAGAATGCAGACAACTGATTTAGTTTCGTAAAATTTAAACTGTGTATATATATATATATATATATATACCAGAGCTTAAATCTCAAAATTTTTACATGCCCTGCTAGGCTTATAAAAAAAATTCTAATTTGCACAAAAAATAAGCCTAAATATCTTTTTGAATGCATATTAATAAATATAATGTATTACATTTATATAATGTATAACATTTAAAGAAACCTTTTAGCTGCCTTAACAGAAAGAAAAACAATTCAAAGATATATAAATAAAATTAAATGAACTTCAAACTTTATGCATAAAAATATCACCTGCTTTGATATTGTAGAATAGCTGTTAAGTTTAAGAGTTGGTAAAATTACATCGGACAACAATCTTGCTTTTTTATTCAATTTCTTATTATCTTTTTATGAACAGAACTTGGAGTCTACTTTTTTTAAATTAAAATAACCATGACGGAATGGATAAAAAAGAAGCAAATCTTTTTTTCATATATATATCTAGATAATTTCTTAACTGTAATCAAAATTGATGAAGTTGCTGATTAAATATTTAAGTGCTCCACCAGGTATGTAAGCATAAAACATAGCCCCCCCCCCTTGGTTCGCAATATAATTTTCGAGTCTTAATAAACACTATACAATATCAAATTAGTTTCTTTAATTTCAATTTTATACTTTTATTGACATAAAGTGATTTAAAGCAAAACACTGTTTGGGTTATACATTGATATCTTTTAACTGTTCAGAATTTGAGAACTAATTTTAACTTCTTTTTCATATAAAAAATTTAAAAAAAAAAAAATGAGAACGTAAGTTGCCTTGCATTTATATCATAGAGAATAGTTTTAAAACTTTTTGCAAAAATAAAGTCAGTTTCTTAAATAAAGACCATTATTTATTTGAAGATGAGAACACTTTAAGATACAATAAAGAAATAAAATAAATAAGAAATGAGGAATTTTAATAAAATCAATTCATTTTAAAACTTTCACAAACAAAACAATTTTGCAAATACATATGAGTACCATGAAATAAATAAAGCTTTGCTAAATATTTCCACGTTTTTTTCTAAAAAAAAGTATATATAATTCAATAAGAAAGTGTCAGAAAATAATTTTCTAACTTCATTCTCTATGCCAAACTTTTCTTTGGAATGATTATAAGGACAAAAGAAACCATATTTATATTTTTAACTTTACATTATTTCATGTTCCAGGCGATCATGAAAATACTTTCTGCACATATAAGTCTCTAACAGTCTAGCCGCTTGACCAATCAAAACAAAAATTTTATTCAGTGTTGTTTAAAAACTGAGATTAAGATGATTTAAAACAATTGTGCTCTCATTGTTATGGTAACAGAGTTCTAATTTCAAAGTTGCAACAATTCATTTTTTTCTCAGAAACAATAAGAAACTTAAAATGGAGTTCAAGGGGCATAGTCGTATTATAGGAAAGGGATAATTTGGTCTGATGGTTATATTTTATACCTTTAATTACCTTTTTATAATCATATACAGAGATTCTAATAAATAGAGATTCTATCTATTTGGATTAATGAAGCAATTAGCATCATTTCGGGGGTGTTTTGTCCCCCAACTCCTCATACAACTACACCACTGAGGATATCAGCAAGAATAGTAGCGATGCTAGACACAAAGGAAATGATCAAAATGCAATATACGATCTATTGTACTTTCGTTTTTTCTCATTGTTGGAAGAATATGTTCAGTAGATCTGAATGGCTGACAAGTTGAAAACATATAAAATACCCTTTTCTTCTTTTCTGCCTAGCACTGCCATTTTTCATACTAAAAATATACTTTTAAATTCACTTTGTTTTTTTATGTTAGGATCACATTTCAGCAAAAAAAAAGCAGGTGTTGCCAATAAAAATTGGTTCACTGTAACTGTGAGAGATTAACTGATTTAAATCATCATGATTTTGAGCGCATAACGCAGAATAAATGAAATTTGAATTTGATTGATGAAGCAGATGGGCCACTAAAAGTTCAAATACAGGGAGCATTTTTTTAAAGGCTGTATTAAATCAAATGTATTTAAATTCACAGCAAAATGGAAGTCAGACACATAAAATTTGATTACATGTAATGGAAAAACCGATAAGACCAAATAAGAAATGCCTTCCATATACAAATGGACTTATTTCCACCATTTATAAATAATGAATCTCATTTTTTTCCAGTCGTACATGACCTCTGAACACCGATACTCCACAAATTAAATGCACAAAATGGCAAAGGAGAAATGAAAAAAAAAATGAAACATATGAGTCATTGCACATGTACATAAAAACCCTCAAAAGAGCAGATAAACAATTACAACTTATCACAATATTTAATGAAAACAGTTCTTTATGTACAAAAAATTGGTGAAAAGCCTATACTGGAACAAATGTGTTGCGGAACGGCAGACGGATTCAGCTCGAGTGGACTGAAGTTCATTATTATTATTAAAAAAACTTGCTTCGGTTTAATTTCAATAAACTGTAAATTAATGAATTGGCCATGTTTCATCCATCCACCTCTTATTTATTAATCTTGATGAAACAGAGCCATAGAAATTGTAAGGAGTATAGAACTGGTACCAATTATTAATGAATAAATTCACATGGTGAATAAGGGTTTTTTAAATTAAGTTCACTGTCCTCAGGACTTGTGATTGGACGTTAGCCATGTCAGTCCTTCATATAGTCCTTCGCCAGTAGTAGCACAAGATGGTTGGACATACCAATTACGATCCCGAATACGGGTCAGGCCAAGCTTCTCTTGTATTTCATGTGGCTTCATGGCTGAAAAAAATAATAATAATAATAATTAAAGATACAATTTTCCAGCATTTAAAAACATATTTTGAATAAGTATGAACAATTAAAAATGAGACAAATTATAAGCTGCAGAGTTTTTCTTTTTTAGCTATAATACTTTAAATACCGGGTTGCCACTCAAATCGGGGGAAAAAAGATTTTCCATGTTTTCCTTGTATGTATTATACATAATATATTAAGAGAAAATACACATTCATTATGCTTTTGTGTAAGTTATATTAGGATAACACTAGTTTGGATTGCTAGAGAAACGTATAGAAATAATGTAGAGCTCAACATATAACTAATAATGCTCAATATATAGCAAATCAAATAATAACATATAACAAAAAATATAGGTTGGCATATTTAAAAGACAAAAATAAGAAATAAAATTCTCGGCATTTTCCCAGTTTGCAAGAAAAAATTCAAAATTCCCTGTATTTTCCATGCTGTTTTAGATTATTTTTAAATCCCCTGTATTTCTCAGGATTTCAGTGCTCTCCCTGCTAAGTGCAACCCTAGAAATTGACTGAAAATCATAAAGGAGACATAAAAAAAACAATGACAAATTCTTTAGGATGCATAATTTTCATTCAAAATCGCTTGAAATATATTTTTAAAACTTAAGAGCAGTATCTTTCACTACAAATAAATGATTTAAGTAAAACTAATAAAAATGACTAAAACTTATTGCAAATAATCCATTATTCAACCACGTCGTGTTTTCACAATCTGTTATCAAATATCGGATTTCACATTCATGCAATTTAAAAGCCACTAATATGATTTGTGTCCAAATGGCTTAAAAATTAAACATCAGAATTCGTATTCACTCTATTTAATATTGAAACATCAAGATTCATGTCCATGCGATTTTAAAATGGAACATCGTGATTTGTATTCACACGATTTAGAAATCAAGCATTGAGATTTATAAATCACGCATTGAGATTCATATTCACACAAATTAATAAAATCTCACATTGATATTTTTATTAAAATGTTGATAACATTCTGTGGAAAAATGCTTCCTACTAGGTCTAAAAATAACCACTAGGCAAATGGCAATTTAAAAAAAAGGAAAGAAAAGTGGTGTAGTATCAGAGGTTCGTGAGTATGGACTTATTGAATAAATACCAAGATTAAACTTAATAACATTTATTGAAAAATTAGGAAAACAAAACATAAACAAATGAGCTTAAGCCGGACAACCTTGCTCGTAGCCGGTTAGAATATTAATTACTCCTTTTAGTAAGGAGAAAACTACCAAAAGCAATGCGATGGCAGCGCCATCTCTGAATTAAAACAAATAGTCAAAATGATAAATTCTGGTATCACAAGTGGCAACTTAAACTAAATAAACGATCAATCACATTCTTTCTTTGCAGAAAGACTCTGGAAAGCAGAATTCTCATTCGAATGTCAAACGTCTCCATTCGAAATTTTGTTTCTTCTGAATTCATCAACATTTGATGGAAAGGTTTATGTAGACAAAGAGTTCCTTAATAATTCACATATTTCAAAGTTGTTATGATTACACTAAGTTATTTTGCTTTCCCAAATATTTTAAATAAAGTTCTTTAAAGTCAGTATGTTTAACTAAATTCAGTAATATACTTATATTATTTTTATTGTTGAATTACCTTCTTATAGTCATATTATTTTTAATATGAATACTTTTTAAGAAATATAATTTAATCCAACAAATAAAGCAAAAAAATTGCATAAAGTGGCTATTTAAAGTATTAGTCACCGACTCATTAGGTTTGACTAAAAAGCGGCTACTAAGTTATAAGAGTCTGTCGGACACTGCCCACTAACTGAAAATTTAAATTTTCAGGTCTACTACATGCACCTTTTCCTTGCTCATTAGCTATTTTTTCAATTATTTAAAATGTGTTTTTGCACATAACATTTTTGGATTTTTAATTTCAGCTTTCTTTAATCAAACTCCTCCCTTTGGTATAAATCAATACAGAATTCTAAAAAAATCCTTGATTTTTAAATTTTTTTTTGCCAAAATAAGGTGGCAATGAAAGGATTGAAACTAGTAACAAAAGTTAATCAATGTGTGCAGAAAGTGTTTTAATGGAGATTCTGTGTTTGCAGTAAGTTTTTCATTAGTCAAGTTATCTAAAGCATCAGATCAAAATTTTCTTCCCGGCTGTGGAACCAACCATAAATGATGGACCTTCATTAGAAGGAATCCCAAGAATAAATTTCATAAGCAACTGTGAACATATAAATTAATAAAAGACTCTTTTGACTTTGAAAATATGTAATGATTTCAATTTTTTTGACACCCGGTGGCTGAATGGTAGTGCTTCGCGTTCCTGTGCCACGGTTCGATCCTCGGGCTGGGCAAGGTTGACTCAGCCTTTCATCCCTTCAGTGGGTTGATAAATGAGTTCCAAGCATGCTTGAGAATTAAACACTGGGGGATTCGCATTCAGCTGAACCCCTAACCGAAACATCTGCTCCTGTACCCCAGAGCTCAAGAAAACTGAGATGGGCACAGTAGGTCATGGCCCTCTATGGGCTGTTGAGCCACTGAATTTAGTTTTATATTTTATTACTTATTTTGAAAATATTTAGTAAGAAATCATGGATTAAAAAAAGTTAACTTGCTCAAAGTAGAAAAAAAAATCAAAATTCACCTAGATCAGTTTTTGCCTCAGCGAAGAAATAATTTTTTATGAGCATGAAATTGTGCTATTGTCAGTAAGATGGCAAAAAGATTGGACCAAAATGAACAATATATAATTCAATAAAATATTTATTTAAAAAAAAAATCATCTTTCATTTTCTTAAAAAAAAGAAGAAGAAAAAATTACTTTCCGAACAACCCAATAATAAGAGATTAAAAACTTATATATTCTCACAATAGATTTTACACACATTGCATAAAAATTAAATACTAAACAATTATCCCTAGCTTAACTATATAATAATTTGTTCCCTTTTTAATGGTTTTTAAAACAAATTTTATGCTGACAACAGTACAAAAAATAAAAAGTAAATCTTCCTGATATTTCAATACAGTCTAAAGCTGATGTATTATAAATTCACTAAAAGATCAAGATTAAACAATATTTCCAATCTACAATATTTCTCCTGAACAGTTATCAAATAATATGAAATTTAATAATGCACACATTATAGTTTTATACATTCTTTCCATAAGCATATGAACAATTAGTTCAACAAAATAATACAGCCCATTTATCAACTAGCAGTTTTAAATAACATCAAACGCTTCATTATAATATAGAAAAAAACTTACCATCTGGCAGATCTTGTTTGTTCGCAAATACTAAAATAATAGCATCTCTCATTTCTCTATCATTAATTATTCTATGTAATTCTTGTTTGGCTTCATCTATCCTATCTCTGTCTGCACAGTCCACAACAAATATTAAGCCATGTGTACCAGTATAATAATGCCTCCAGAGTGGGCGGATTTTGTCTTGCCCCCCTACATCCTGCAAATTACAATACAAATACTTAAAATTAAAATAAAATGTACCATACTTTACTTTTAAGGTTAAATGTAGGGTTTAATGGTCCAACAACTAGAAGTATATTAATGCAGTAGTTCCTAATTTTTTTTCAGCTGTGGAACACTAAATCAGAGGTTCCCAATGTTTTTGACAATGAAGCCCTAAATAATTAAGCGCCTAAGGAGGAACCCCGACTTTATAATTGTATATGTATTAACCATTAAAAGACTAATTTATTAGGACCTTTTTATATTTGATAAGATGGATGAATTTTTTTCATTGTCTTATCATTAATAATCTTAAATTAGGTGAAGTCAGTCTTGGAGATATTTTGATTTGAAAAGCGAAATATGAAATACTATTGCAACTTTTTATAAATGCAATAAATTTTTTTATAAGTCTTTTTTCATAATTGTTGTTAGAAAAATTATTTTTTTTTTTTGTAAAAATTTTCATTTCTCACTGTCTGACACATAACTCTCAATAAAATTTCACAAAGGCAATTGAAATGATAAGTAAATAATGGATTATTGATTGGATCTAAAAATAATTACAGATTTTAAAAATTTTCATAAAAAGAACCTTAACTCTTGGAACCTCTTTTATTCTCATTTCTTAACTCTTTCACTTAAATAAATAATGGATTATTAAGGCTCCATGGAAGACCATTTGAGGAACCGCTGGAGTAATGATATTACAGCTGAAGCAGAAAAATTTTAAAACAATCTAAGTTTGGTTCAGAACTAAGAATCATTTATGGCAATGAAAATTTTAAATGCTGTGTTTCTTACACTTAGTAGGCATTTATACATTATATATTAAAATAAAATAATAAAAATACTTTTATCTTTTTAAAAATTTAATTTGCAAAACAAAATTATTGTTCATTAAAAATAGTTATAGATAACTCATGAGAGTTGTATAATTTTGATGCCTATTAAACATTGCTAATTTATTAATACTTTTAAATCAATAAAGAGAGCAGGTACTTTCTTTAAGCTTTACTATATAACTTCACTTCATACTATATATACATATCAGGGGTCTGTCTAAGTTTTTTTGAGAGGTACCTATTTTGTGAAAATTAAAAGTTACACTAAACAGGGTGCGTAGCCAAATCTCTGAATCAAAAATAAGCACTTTTTAAAAACTTTTCAAGCACTTTACAAAAGTTTTCAAGTACTCAAAAATTCATATTCAATCAATGATATTATTGAAAAACAAAAACTTTTTATAAACAGTTCTAACGTTAAAAAAGAAAAATCGTAATCGAAACAATCAGTACTTTCCCACATCACCGAGTGAATTCAACTTGACCCTGAACTCAGAACAAAAGTACCCTTCCCTCTACGTCAAAAAAAGTGTTAGAAGTAAAATAAAATAAACAAGTACAAAATTAAAATAAATTAAAAAGAAAAACATTTCATAAGGATCTGATATTCTCTACCCGAATTGAAGCACTCGGGTTTCGGTTCGGTGTGCGCGCATGCGCAAGTCATAACGTGGGTACGACATGAAGTCCGCGTGAATTATTACGTAGCAGCACACCCCATTTTTTTGTGAAATGCATGGGATCCAGCAGATATCACTGAAGGGAAAAAAATAATTATTCGGAAAAAAAGCACTTTTTAAAAACGCCAGCTGAAAAAAGCACCTTTAAAAGCTTTTAAAAACGAAATCCACCAAAAANAAAATTAAAAGTTACATTAAAATATCAACACCAAAATATGTTAAAATAAGAAATTGGTTTCAAAAATTGTCGCTACAAATAAAAATCATTTATGATTGGAAATTTTCTACATTTTCCCCCCCATATATTAAAAAGTAAATTTGATATTGTGAAATTTTGAGCTTAAAATTGTATCCAAATTTAAAATTCCATTGTCCATAGTTTTAAATTTTAACTTACTGCATATAACAGTACTAGAACTAAAAGTTATTTTCATTATGAGAACATTTTCAACTAGGTCATACAGAAAAAAGTTTTACAGGGAAAAAAAATTTCATAAAAAAATAAAGGCCTGTTAGATTAAATTTATAATAATGTTTTGAATGATGTTCGAATTTTGAATTCCTATATAGTTTATAGAGAGAGAACCTCGTTGTTTCAATTAAAAAAAACTCTGGCATTTATAGTTTTTTTTATAGGGACACAAAAACAAAATTTTAAGAGGCAGAGAATCTTTGAACTTGCTTTTTTTAAAGTATTTTGTGAAACTATAATTTTTTCTAAAGTTGAATTTGTGATGGTAAAGTTAAATGGTAGTAAATTTGCCCTGCACAGACCCCTACATATATATAAACAATAATAATGTATAACTTACAAACATTAAAACAAATATCATAAAGAGAAGTTGAAACAGATAATACACAATAGGAAAAAAAAATTACTGACATCATCTGTTAGACTTACTGCAGTGAAAATTGTGTGCACAGTTCTAAGTTCAAGGCAGTTTGCAAATGACCAGATTTTCCAATTAGCTTATGAAATATACAAGAGTTTGCAAAAGTTCACATATTTTAGGAGCCAAGCTCAATTTTAATGAGTTAGCCTCACATGAAATGTAAAGATCAGAAACAGCCATTTGCTTTTAGGAAATAACTAACTACATAAAGAAAGAACTTTTTAGTTTAATTTTATTAAAAAAATAAATAAAGAGGTCAGAAATAGGGTACAGTGACCACTAGTAATAAAATCACTGGCTTTGAAAATTGCCACTTTTTAAAATCAAATCTGAGAGAACATGTTAAATAAAATTATCAACTGACCTACCAAAACATGTTAAAACTATCTTTTTTAAAAATATAATTATCATCGCTTTATACAATCAAACTTTCAGAAAGCATATGCTTAAAAAAAAGAGAAAGGTCAAATCTTTTTTTTGAATGATTATTTAGAATTTTCCTTCTTTTAAAGTTTTTAAAGACGTGTAGATCCACAAACAAAAAGAGAAATTCTACATGTATGGATTACACTTCTTGGTGAAAATTAAGAGATAATGAGGCAGTTATTTTATCAAATAAAGTTCGGGATCATACTGTATTATGATTCCAACTATGAATATAGATCAAAATTAAATTTTTACATTCATTTTAAATTCGTTAACTAACAAAATGCTTAAATAGTAAGACTTTAGTTTCATGAATAAATGTGAAATGTATTCTAATTGATCTTTGGTACTCAATTAAATGTTGAAAATAACAAATTTTTTTACAAACTCAGAAATGATTTTAAATTTAAACTTGAGTAGCTGTTTAATCAAAGTGTCAAATGTAAATCAATTTTTTAGGATAAAAATGTTTTAATTTTCAACAGATTCTAATGAGTTGATTGTTTATTTTTTTAAACTCATATCAAAATTTAAGTACCGAAAACATTAAATTCATCAAGAAAAAAAAATGTATTAATGTCTGTAACATATTAATAAATATAAATATCTAGAAACTGGAAAACACTAGCAGGAAAAAGGCTAGCCTGGAAAAAATTTCTTGAGAAGGGCAAGGCCCACCCTGGGCTGTTGAGCCATTGATGATGATGATAAATATCTAAAATAAGTTTATTTCAACATTTCATATTATTTAATCTAAGAAAATGCAAATAAAATTAAAACTTACCCAAACGTTAAACTTCACATTTTTGTAAGTGACTGTTTCTACGTTAAAGCCGACTGTTGGGATAGTAGTAACTGATTGTCCTAGCTTTAATTTGTACAGAATAGCTAGTATGAATTAAGAAAAACTATTGATCAAACAACCTTGATGTTTAATGTGTAATCAATTCAACAATTACTTAATTATTCCAATATTAAATAAACAAAACAAAATATAGGATGTGCTAAAACTCACATAGAATGGGAATTTTGCACTATTTGTGCGTTAAGATGTTGCAAACACAAAGAAAACGGGACAAGCAATAGTTGGAGGTTATTAAAAATTTTATGCTATACCTGCAACCCTCATTTTTTAAACTGTGTAAGATTGAGTTTATAGCAGAAGAAATATTTACAATGCTAAAGATTTTATGTGTTTTCAATTTTTATTTTTCATTCAAAAAATCAACAACACTTTTAACTGGACTAGGTATCAGCAGTATTTTAACACATTCAGCTCAAATAAATTTGAAATAAAAGAAAAACTTCATCTTTCTTTTTTCATTATCAGATGTAAATCTCATATTTTTCACTAATTAATGACAGATCAGGCTTAAGCACAGTGAAAATCCCAGATGTCTGAGCCAATAACCAATTCTTATTGATGTACGTGTATTCGTTATCTAAGCCATAAGAACCAATCTTCATTCACAGATGTGTAATTCTATGAAAGTGCAAAACTTGTCTGAACATTTTCAAAAATGTAGAAGATTTGAGTGCAGAAAGTGGATGTAAATGGAGAGAGCTTCTACAAAATGCAGAAGAGTTGGCAGGCATGTAACACTATGCAAGCAAAAGAAGAAGAGAAATGCTTTAATCGTTGAATTATCCCAAGTATACTCACATTGTGTAGACTAATTTACGCATGCAATACACATGTAATTCAAAGAAAGTGCAAAATTTAAATGAACACTTTCAAAATATAGAAGATTTAAGACTCACTGCAGAAAGTGGGATGTAAATGGGGAGAGTTTCTGCAAAGTTTACCGGCATGTAATAGTCTATTAAAATAAATAATAATAAATAAACACTTTAATTGTCAAATTATTCCATGGTGATGTAAATATCCAGTTTTGGGGATTAGAATTGGTTACTCAATAATTGATTTACGCAATATGATGCCCCTGTTTTTGTTTTTCAGAAGTCTTATGTTTATGACAACAAGCCCAAAGCTATCTATTTCTTAAAGGAGAGCCGGGATGGCTCAGGGGATAGAGCGTTTGCCTTCCAATGAGAACCCGGTTCAAATCCCAGTTGATACTAATTCCGCATCTGGCTTGCACCGACCACATTGCTAGAAGGATCCTTGCCGTCAGGCTAACTGTGGGAAGTTCTCGTTGTCTCCCACTCCATGTAACGCAAATGAGGGTTAGTTCCATTAAAAAGTTCTCCACAAAGGCAAATTTCTCCCAACACTTGATTCAGGACTTCCCTAGTCTTTTGGATTGGGTTCAAAATTACAAGGCTACATAGTTGATCATTAGTAGTCGTAAACCCAAAAACTGGATCGGCTGTCCAGCGATGGTTATAAAATTATAAAAAATATTTCTTAAAGGGAGAAATTGAGCGCTCTTAACAACGAATCTTACAGGATGCTGAATGCTCCTAAAATAAAATTTAAATAGAAAAGACCTAATTACTTAATCTTATTTTTTCTTTTTTTAAAAAAAATCAAGACAAAAAATATGAATAAATATAACATTCTCTAAGTGGGAAACTAAACTACAGAGAAAAGTTCACATATTACAAAGTAATCAGTTTGAAAAACAAATGAAAATATTCAATTGTACAAAAGGATACTTGTTTTTCCAGCTGCATCTAAACCTAACATCAATATCCTCATCTCCTTGTTACCGAATATTTTAGATAATATTTTCCCCATCTCATTAGGCTTGTACTTTCTTCACCTAGAAAATTATTTTATATTTTGTTAACAATTTCAAAAATGAAACAAAGTGTCATTTAAACTTTTTAAGAGTCACTCTGATTTAACAAATGTATTTTTCATATAAAATCAGGCTACATGTGGTGAGGACTCTTTATGGCTTCACATACTTTCACTTAACAGTTATATGAGAAGGAAGCACATTAGTATCTATCTTGATATTCAAATTGACTTTAAGATAAGAAACTATATGGAACTGCATTAAACATAATTCTTAAAAAAAGCATGAAAATTTCAGAAAATATTTTTAACAATATGGAAAATATTATGAAAGGTAGTACATTCCCATACAACTGAGAAGAGGAGTCCAACCTAAGTCTTTTCTTTAGGTGGCATATTTGAGCATTGCAATAAGGAATCCTAGCCTAGCAGTCAAGTGTTTCTACATAATGGATCACACAGAATAAAAAAATATAAGAGACAATTCAAAGGTCATATATTTCAAGAAGTTCAGAGGAAGATTAATGTATCAGTATTTGCAACAAATTGGCAACCTAGTTTTGCTGACAACTAGTCAGTGGCGCATAAGAAAATTTACTAGATTTTTGAGATTTAAGTTAATGAACATTTACTTCTAAAGAACTTATTCAGGCAGAGGCAAGGTAGATTGGACATAGAGGCATGTTGAACCAGACTAAATTTTTTTAATGTTAAGTATTATACCTATAATTTTTTTTCCATTACCTTATTGCACCCCGAATATTATTTTTATACAGCAAGTTGAACTTTAACCCACAGTAAGCTTATAAACTTGAATACCTTATCTTCTAAAATTTGTTTCTTTGAGAATATATCAATATAATGAAATTATTTTACATAATAAAATCTTTAATTTAATAATTATTTCACGGTCTTTTGTGAAACCCAGAAAATGGGATACATAGGCCAACTAAAAATCAGAGTAGGTTGGACTATCAAAATAATTCAAAAAATCTTTATTTAAAGTAATATTTTATTTATTTTTTAGAGTTTTATTAAGGACATATAATTATATGTCCTTAATAAAATTATCTATATTTTTTTAAAAACTCGCTTTTCACAAGTCTACAATGAAGAATAACAAACGTTCAAGAAATAAAAACTACAAAATATTTTATTACCAGAAACTATAAAAAAGAATAAAATCATAGAAGGGGACAAATTCGAAAGATATAACTCGCAACTCACAGTTATCCGTAGGCAAACCTCTACATGCTTTTCTATAAAAGTTTAAAATCCTTTTGGCACCTTGGCAACTGTAATTGGCATAACAGATTTCAAAGTATGAAAATAATCCCAATTTTCGACATGTGTGTTGAAGAAGGACAAGAAATTTCTGCATTTTTGATCTCAGAAATGAAATCTGAATTTTAATAGTTCTAAATTATTTATTTGTGAAAAAATGAGGACTAGAAATTATTGGATTCTTTACTAACTGCTGATATGAAAGTTAGTAAACTCTAGTTAAAATTACATTGTAGTAAATTAAAAAGTACTGATTTCTTCTAACTATAAAATGCAAAAATTTATTTTTTTGATTTTTAATATTTGAATTATAATATACTTAGTCAGTCATAATTTATAAGCAAATTATGCACTATTGTAATCATTATTTACAACAACATCATTAACATATGCTAAAAAATAAAGTTTTAAAGAGTTAAGATGTTATGAACTACCACTTATTAATGCACTGTGTATAATGCATTATTGCTGTGCTATTTAATATAATGGGATTCGACTGCATTTTAGGAAAATTTCATAGTGTGAGCATGTTATAAAGGAATTTTAACAATAAACAAAATGATTGTCATTAATAAGAAAAATTAGTAATCGCGAGTTTGCAGACGTTACTAACAACATACTGTCAATAGCATAGGTCATTTTTTAAATTTTTAGAAGCATTGAAATTGAAAATGGACATCCTTTACAACGAATAATATATTCAAACGACTTGATTGTAACTAGCCGCTAATAAATAGGCCAGTAATAAAAAATGTAGCCCTCACTACAATGCAAGCCGAATTGGTATGTAACCTTTAATAAATCAACATAATAAAACAAAAATAGGAGACATAAAAACTCAAGTTATAGATTTAGTCAAAGGGAATAAACAGTCTATAAAGAATAACTAGTGACATTTAAGCAAAACGCTACGATTTAATAATAGTTACAAAAGGAAAAAAATTAATCAATAATTTTTAAATAATATATATGCCATAGGCTTAGTGCGGCAGTTATCGAACAATAATACTGTCGATGTAATAGGAACATACAATTTGTAACGAATCGAAATAGCTGCAAAGAGATGATTTTATTTTTTTCCCATATAAGATGATGCTGCATTCCACGATACTTACTAATGGTTAAATATCAAAACCGGTGATATCAAGGCGTTGGTCAAAGGAAATTGGAAAAAGTTATAATACGATAAAAGAATAATAATCCAATGAACATGCGGTAAAATTATTTACAATTGTTGTGCACAACATTGTCGAAAAACTATGTAAGTTTTTTCATAACTTGATTTGATAAACACATTCCAACGTTGCTCTCATTGACCTCAAAAAAGTCGAATGAAAATTAAACGGAAGTAACTATACCAACAACTCGATCGAATTTCCGGCTGCACGGTATTGCCATTCTATCAACTTATAAAAATGCTAATTAAACATCTGTCTTATTTCTCTCATTTCAAGGTTAGAAAAACAAACTGGTGACTTTAAAAAAACATGAGATATCGTTAAATTGAAGCAAATAAATTTTTCTTCCAAAAAAAGTAAAAATTTAACTTTAAATTAATATAATTTGGATTAAAATCTGGCACTCATAAATTAGCTCCAAGTTCGAAATAGTATCTTTTCTGTAAAGACCCTGCCCATTTATTCAGTTTTTTGAGTTATACTTCATATAAAAACATTTTTTATAAGAAAAATCGAAACGTAACGGTTGAAAAAGTTTATACAGATTTGAACGATCCCAGCGTTCACATTTACATGTCTTCAAATTCAAATTTTGGTTTTAAAAACAAACAGTTTTTTTCCTAATTAAGTGCAAGTAAATTAAGACGGAATATTGTTCCACTTATTAGCAGTTTTGGGAGTGATATCATGTTTCATAATAGTTTTATCAATATTTAGAAGTTCTTCATCTGTTAATTAAATGTTTTTTCGTACTCAATTTTAAAAATGAAGGAGTTTTTAATTTCAATTAGTAGTTCCCTTGTCTTTCATTCATTAAAACATATATAAAATTAATTAATATACGTTAGTTCTTTTCACTTTTAAATTCATTCATTTGAATATGAATGACAAAGAGCCATACAGAGCCACCAAACTGGTAAATATTGAAAATGTATTGCTGATAATCTACATTTAATTGTAGTTTATTGGGGTATTGAATTTTTATTATAATTTATTAATCAAGTTATGAGCATTGTATTAGATATATATATATTTTGTAGCGAGTGGGGGGAGGGACTATTGAATAATAAGGAATGCGATATATTAGATGTATTTAAATTTATTTTCTGTCTGCAAATTCTCGTTTTTTTTTTGTTTTTTTTATTAACATGATTTAGGAAACATATTTTGATAAGCAACTTAATCTGATGTAATATTGCACACATACTGCTTGTCTTTTTATATATTTGATTGCTTTAGTTTTTTAAGTTTTCTTTTTTATAACAGTATTAACAATTATTATAATTTTATAACAGTATTAACAATTACATCACCTTAATCTGATGTACCTGTATACTGGAGAAATTCAACTTATCACTTTATAATCTTTTTAGTTTCTTAAGTCTGGTTTTATTAATTTCTTTATTATTAACATGATTTAAAAAAAAAAAAAATATTGGTACTTTTCGATTAGCGCAAGGTAATTCCGCAATTTTTTAAAAACTTTTTATTTTATATAAATTTTTTAAACTTTCATTTTGTCCAGTGTTTAAAAGAATAAAAAGCAGTCAAAGAAATTAAAATTAAGAGTTTGTGGTGTATATTTTTTGCTGAGTTTTTGCTTGTGCCCGACTAAGCAATAAGTTCTCTAATATTTTGATAAGATTTATGCTTTTCTGTACCTATATCCTAGTCAAATGCAGTTTGTTACTTTTTAAATTTTATTCTTTATAGTATGGTGTCAGTTACTTAAAATGATTAGAATCTGTAATTTCCCTTACAATTTATTCGTATAATTTTTAAGAAAATCATTGATTTAAATCATTTAAAATTAAAATTAACATTTATTTGCCCTGCTTTTAAACAGATTGCGAGTAGTTACAACAAAAATTTTAAGTGGAATCTGGGTATATTTCTGTATAAGTACCTATTTATGCAAACTAGAATCATCAAGGTGCCAATGGGATTTCAGAACTTGTAAAAGTTAAAGAAAGAAATAGTATGTAGAGGTTTACTGAGGGTGGCTACAAGTTATACCCTTTGTTTTGGCTCCTTTCTGTGATGTTTTTTTTTTTATAGTTTCTTGCATGAAATTGCCCAGAAGTTTTATAAACTAAAAAATCATAAAATAGTTTATACATCGTTACATCATAATAATTACTTTTATGTTTTTTTTTTTTTTTTTAATTTTAAATCGTGTACTCAAATGATAAAAATATGTAAATGACAAATATTGTCTTTTTTTTCTTTTTCTTTCTTTTGTTTCTTGAATTTATACTTACTGTCAAAATGCCATTCTATAGAAGATTTTTTTTTTTTTGTATTCTATGAATTTAGTGAAGTACTTTTTTCTTGTGTTGCAAATTAATATTTTTATGTGCATCTTATATTATATATTGACTATGTTTATTACATAAATTACGTTGTTTAATGTAGATAATTGTGTTGTTAATGTTGTTTAATGTAAGAGGATAGATAGTATGAAAACGATATGTTTCAGAACTTTTAAGTTATTGTTTCTGCTAATTAGTCAATTCTTTTTGGTTTTATCTTAGTTACTAATTTGTATCCTAGCATTTTTTGTCTGCAATTTATGTAATCTTTGACTCAATTCATACAGAAAAGGCATATAAGCAGTAAATCAACTGTCTTTTCTAGTAATATGTGATTCAATTAGTAATTACTTAATTATATAAATTAAGTTTCTTAAAATAATACAATAAAAATGTATAGCATTACATTTTGTTAATAATTTTCCTGTTTTTTTAATGATATTTTTTTTGCAAACTATGCAACTGTAATTTATTATTATAATTTTTTAATTATATTATTTTTAGTGGAATGAAGTTATTGCAGCTTTTAAAGCTGGGATGCCATTAAAGAGACATCGTAGACGCATGCAAAGCTATGTGGATTGTTTCACAGCTTCTGAGGCAGTAACATGGCTTCATTGTTTTCTACTGAATAATCCTAATTTCGGACCAAATGTTACAAGGTCTGTACCTCTCTTCCTAATTCGTAAACCTAGTCTATAAAACCTAGATATCATGCTCCTATGGTACCTAAAAAATTATAGTTAAAATTTACATGGACATAATTTATGTATTTTGTAATGTATGCTACAAAATTGTGTAATATATATACATCTCTATTTCAGGTAATATTAAAATAATACAATGCCTTATTTAAATTCATTTTCTATTTAAAATGCAAATTTACTGAGAAGAAAAAACTTAGATATCGATATTCAGTCTGTTTCAAGTAATATAAAAATTTTACTATTCATTATTTAAATTCATTTGCTATGTAAAATGCAAATTTACCAATGAAAAAAAAAGCTTGGTTACCAATTTTAAGCTAAGCTTAGATTACTGATTTCTTAGTTTAAACTAAAGTAGAAAGAAATTATAATTAGTTTTATTTTATCTATTCTAGATTGTTTTATTAGACTTCAGAATTTGTGTAATGGGTTTTGTTTTTTCTTTAATAGAACACAAACTATCAATTTGTTGCAAAAGTTTTTAAAGTGCCATGTAATTGAAAGTGCCATAATGAAATCAAAGAAAAAAGAATTCCTTGACGATTCTCACATCTACAAGTAATTCAAGTTATTTTATAACTTTTTAAACAGTTTATGTGAAACATAATGTTTAGATTTACCCTCCTTTAGAGTGTGAAGTGCTGATTTAGTATTTTTTTTCTTTAGGTTCAACCCTGTTTCATTAAATCAATCCAGACCCTCAGCATTGTGCCTAATCCAATCTCCAACTGGTTGCAAAGTGAAATCTAAAAAAAATGAACTTGCCGAAATTCAGAATCTTCCAAAGTCTGTTCAGATTCAGAAAAAAAATATCCCGGAATGTCATTTAGTCGAGAGAAAAATATCTCCAAATGAGATTAAAGCAATATGGGAAAAAATAACTCTATCGAGGTAACTTATTTAAATAGTTTTTTCTCTAACGCAAAATGAATGATTTGAATAAAATAATACAGGGTACAAAATTTAAAGAGTTGGTCTGGGAGCACTAAAGTTTGACCCAGACGACCCTTAAAATAGATTATCAGTGAACCAGCAATCAATATGAAGGGGTGGTATGCTGTTTTGATTTTAGGTTTATGTTTTGGTCTGTGTTGTTGTCGCAATTAATATATTTCATCATAATTGTGACATTTTTCACACAAGATGTAAATGGTTCTGGGAAACTGTGCTTGGGCCAGTAATACTTTTAGTAAACATAGTATTTATAAAAGATATTACTAGGCAGTGCGCATGTAATTGGTCCTTTGGAAAACTAACTGAAGACCACTTTGACTAAAAGACTCTGGACCAATCACTGGTTAATTTAACCCTTTGCTTACGGTGTACTATCTTCTACCATCACATGTGGTCCACATGTCCTACCAGCCACAAGAAAAAGGTTAAGCCAGTAACTAAACTTTCTGCAGTCCTTTCGACCAATGGCTAAATTTTCTTTACTTTTACTACTGTCTAGTCAACATCTAGAAGCGATAAGGCCACTGCACGGATTACCATAAATGAGAAATCTGATTCTTTAGTAGTCTGAAGGTAGTGAATTTTTTTTAAATTTTACTTATCTTATTTATGACACTTATCTTATTTTCTCCCAGCTGCACAGTTTATGTTTGTTACGTCGGACTACTAAATTGATCCATGCTGAGGCTTTCTTTCTTCTAAGAGGTTTTGGTCTTATACCGTAAATTTTGAAAAATTAGCCTTGCAAAGAAAATTTTTTTTTTTTAAGTGGATCTGCCGTTTTTTTTTAGGGCTGGGCCTATTTTAGTAACCCTGGTTGGCAGCTTTGTAATTTTTATATATTTTTGTTTATTATGTTACTAAAATTTTAACAAAAAAATTAGTGGTACTGTAGATTGGTACAAACATATTTCATTTTTTTCTTTTTTCGTTAGATTGGAAAGTCTTTTGCCTCATGTTTCTTGTAGTGAACTTCTACAAAACAAACTCATTGACGGTCATTTGCTCAAGCATAATGCATCACGTCTTAGCAAGACTGGTGTTGTCGTCCTAGTCGATAAAACAGGTTTACTTTTGTTTTCCTTTTTGCTTATCCTATATATCATTGTAAATTATTCATTTCTCTGCCTGTAATTATAAAAATGAGAGAGAGTAACTTGAAATAGTGCCAGAGGAAACATGAATACGATACAGAACTTCTTCAGAGGACGCCCTGTATGTATTCGTATGAAAGGGTTTCTGTGAATAACTTAAAGTGTGATCCCTGTCCTGAAAAAGTCCTGTATTGCATTCATGTTTCTTTTGTTTTACTTAAACTTTTCTCTCCAATGCTTACAATTATATATATGTTAAATTTTGGGCTTATGTTGCTTCAGCACTTTCAAAGATTTGACTTAGATTTTGTCTTTATGTTCCATCAAATTGTCTTTTGACATGTTTTTATTTAAGAGGCCTCTCAACTGTCGACGAGGGAAAATCTAATTATTATTTTATTCCTTTTTGCTGAATTTTTACAACTAAACTAATGGTTGATGTTTCCTCTGCTCGGTGTTATTTTTTGAAGCATATTAAGTACGAGATCCTTTACCCTATCAAAATTTGAGATACCAGGTTTGCAGTATTTAGATAGTATTTCGATCTTTTCTGAGAAAATTGTAAAAATGCAATTCTGCAATTATCAGTTTTTGAAAAGAACTTAACTTGTAAATAGTTGTCTGTTTTTAGATTTTTGATGAATATTGTTTTTGTGTAATTAATATTAAAAGAACTTTTATGTATTAGTCAAATCTGTTTTCATCAGTTTAAACTGTAATAAAATATTTTAAAAAAATCTAAAAACTGGCAATTGTGTAGTTTTAAATTACTTCTTAAAACCTCAAATTATATTATTTTACTGCTTTCAAGTTTGAAGGAAAAATTTGCAGAAGTTCTAAAAATCAAGCACTATGTCTCCTAATCTAGTAAAACAACCCCTTTATTTGCCATCTTTTATCGAGACATATTGTGCTGTCCAATAACACTAGATCATCTAAAGTTTGTTAAATACGAAAAAAAAAATATCGATAAAACGCAAATTAAAAATTTAACCTTAAATCCAAGACGGCAGGGGTAGAGGCCTTTTAAAAATAGGGTTTAATTTTTCTATCTTAAATAATAATTCTATTTTTGTAGATGACATCCCACACTGGGTAATTTCTGCCATGAAGTGTTTAGCAAATTGTAAGTTACATATATTTATTAATATATTTAAAATTATGTCTTTCCTATTTTAGTCCAAATTACAATAGACAAAATCTTTTGTAGGGCCAAATGCTAGTGGTAGTGGGAGCTGCCTGCCCAATTATCCAGGATTTGAAAAAGACGTTTTTAAAGTCGTGAGGGATTTCTTTATAAATCCTAGAATGCCTTTGCTGCCAGACTTTCTTTCATCTCTTCTAATTCAAGTGTTCTGTATGTACAATATTTCTTTTTTAAAATAAAAATCACTTCAATGTCAATCATGTTAATACATGATTTTGCATGTAGTAGATTGGAATATAATACAATAATTTACAATGCAGTGCTATCAAAAATTATAAATTTAGTATCAATCAATGATTAACCTATACTTGTGCTGTTATTATTATCACATGACAGCAAATTTGGCCTAGTGACCTTTGGTATTTTTGTGAAAAATGTTCTAGTGAGAATAAAACATGATTAATTAGCTATCACAACTTATAAACTTGAGATTCTTCCAACATATGGGGGAATTTTCACCTTTCTAAATATTTTGTCTAATTTTTTCAAAAGTTGTTCCATCTCTACAAAAAATTTTGCCAAATTGGTGATTTGTAAATGGTTGATCAAAAGATTTCTAGATAAATATTTAAAATTGCAATGAAATTTTTCAGAGATAAAAGTATAATAGAAAGTGCCACATTAAATATTTATATTTTTCTTAATATTTCTACATTATTTTATAATTTTGCTTTATTATTATTTTGTTCTCTTTAATAATAATTTTTTCTAATTTATACATAAAGCTTAACAATTTGTTGATTGTCAATGTACTCATGTCAAAAAAATTTTTTTAATAAGCATGGAAACAATTTGATTTTTTTTTTTTTTTTTTATAATCCTATTNTTTGTACAAAATTATAGTTTTGCAAAATTCTTCCATGACTTGAGTTGATTGGCCTTTTCAGACTTTTTATTTTATTCCATCTTTTATGACTGGGATTATGAATGTAAAATAAATTTTAAAAAAATTTTTAATTGTAGTTTTTTATGTACTTAGCCAAAATCTTATACTAGAGATTGTAAAATTATAAATAGTGTCATCGAAAAATTATAAAATTATGTTTGAATTCTAATTGTTTACTGGCCAAATTAATGTTATTTTTATTATAAAATTTGTATATTATGAAATTTTTCTTGGCTATTTTTGCAGGTTTGGCTGAATTTTTGCTAGAAATATTTTAATGAGAATAAAGTACAGTTTCCAACTACTTGTATCTGTCATAGCTTATGAATGTAAAACAATCGTTAAAAAAAAATAAATGTAATTTTAATTTTTCTTCCATCAAAAGAGTTAAGCAAGACATATAAAGTAATTTCATAAGTGAATAAGGTACTTATCCATTTCAGGTGGTCATAAGAAATGACTCAACTCTTATTGTCAGGGTTGTGTTTTGATGTCGAAAAGCCTGTTGAAAAGTGTCAAAAACTGACTTAAACTGTTGAAATTTGACAAAAATTGCCAAAAACCTGAAGAAAAATGGGGACATTTTATTAGAAGTCAAGCTACATAACTGTTTATATCATGTACAATACTTGAATATAATCAGCACTATAATTATGATTAATAAGTAGATATTTCTATGTCTTGATTCATTGTGTCAACTACAATTGCCAACCCTGCTAATTTTGGGGATAAGGAAGAAGACGACAATTGCCAAGGGTCTAAATGGAATTTAAACTAGGAAAAAAAAAAGTTTTTTTTTTTTTTTGGAGGTTTGCCCTGAGCTGGCTATAAGCTTTGAGTTAGTCCTCTTATGTGATGCTTCTTGTGGGCCACTGCTTAAAAGTTGTTAAGATTTGACAATTATTTTCACTTAGATCACAATATGGAAATATTCCCATTAATACTTTATCTTAGAAAAATATAGCTGAAATTATTATAAACTGTCAACTGCTTTAAAAAAAAAACATGGTAATATTTATAATTTAAAATCATCATTATTTCATCATGTGGGGAGAGGAATTATAGACAATGTCAACCGTCATCTATGAAAAGGTACCCCGACATAGAGTCGAGTTAACATGTCTTATATACTAGTGAATTGTAGTTGTAATTTTGTAGTGGNAATTATTATAAACTGTCAACTGCTCTAAGAAAACATGGTAATATTTATAATTTAAAATCATCATTATTTGATAAATTATAACTAATTTTATCTTGCAGATGAGTTGTAACTGTTATAAATATAGTTATTGATATTATGTTTATAACAGATTTTTTAGCTTTAGCAAATCTAAAGTGGTTGCCAATATTTACCTGATTTAAATTTGTGATTCTGTATGTGAATATTTGTTGTTAATGGTATTGTGCTTACTATAAGTAAAAAATTTAATATCGCTATTGATGGGATTTAGTTTTAATCTTATTTTCATTTCACCTTCATTAATTTCACGATACTTTTCTCGTGATTTGTAATTTGACAATTTTTTTTCTTCCTCTTACTAGGTCATTTTGTTCCAAGAGAGTTTTACGATTATGGTGACAGCATCAGGAGCTCGTCTCGAGTTTTTGACTTGAGTCATAATTTGAAAACTTCTCAAACATCTTCTTCCCAAGTTAAAACATCAACACCATTAAGTAACGATTCTATGTACAAGAGTCATCATTTAGATGAAATAAAAGCAGCAAGATTACTCGGTGACCCCAATGCCACAAGTCACTCGAAAAACCCGGAGAGTCCGAGTGACGGAAAACTACTTCTTGATGATCCAACGGTCATGTGGGAGTATCCAAGTGAAGTCTATTTTGAGACTGATTTTGCCACAACTCAACCAATCACGCGGGTTATTTCTAATCAATGCTCCCCTCGTAGCAGAAGCAGCTCCTTTGAAAATCCTATGGGTAGTATTGAATCTGTTAGCACCATTAGTGTGTGCAGTCAGAAACCATATGTGCCAAGTGACAGTAAATTAAATTCCAGATCACCTTTGAAAGCATGGAGCTCAAATATGTATCTTCAAGATGAGGTTAAAGACACGCCACAATGGATGAGAACTGCATCCGCATTTTCAAGGCTTAGCGTTGCTGAGTGCACTCCATTGCAACGGGAGAAAATTGCTGAATCTCTAAACTGTTCTGTATCCCAGTATCCTTCTGAGCCTGTTTATATGTGTGAAATAAATGATCTGAACACTTCAGACTTAAGTTCTAAAACTATAACTGAAAGTTCTGAAAACATTGAGTATCAAGAGGCAACATCTTCTCGGTCTTCCACTGCCATTTCATCAAGAGATTTTTCTAGTCCCACAAATCAAATCAGAATTGAGTGCAATAGTTTTGTTGAAAAATATGGAAAAACATTCATTGAAGGTGAAATTTTAAATTTCTTTTATTGTTCAGACATCTTACACAGGGTGTGTAGCGTTTTTAAAAAATGTATATTCGGTGTATTTTAAAAAATGTATATTTGGTGTATGTATTTAAAAAATGTATATTCGGTATGTTATTCAGTGTTTGTAAAAAGTGCTTAATTTTCTATCTTTTAAAATGAGATTTTCTCTTTGCAGTGTCGATTGTCGTTCTAAATTGAAGAAGATGCATGATTTTTCACGATTTTATCTGCAATATTTAACAGAAACTAATCATTTTATCTACAAATTACGTAAAGTTTTTGAAAATGTTTTTGAATTTTTGTGATTTCATGTTTATAAATTAAGAACTTTAAACGATAGATAAAAATATTTATGAGATCTTAAAAAGTACTTAAAAGGTGCTTATTTTTTGTTAAAATGTAGCTATGCATCCTGTTAAAATGTAGGTGAAATCCTAGTCTATGGTACGAGGCTTGGTGTGCAATTTTGAAAATTTTTGCCAACACCAAAATACAACAACCTCAAACTAAAGTGTTTTTATCAATTTTATTTTCAAATAAAATGAGTTTTTTTTTCGATATTTAAAATGTGATGACATGTAATACGCTCATGAATATAATAATTATTAAACCACTATGACAACTTAATTATTATCAACAATTGTCTGTATTACTTAATACATAACAATAGATTTATTCCACTTTTTCACTACCATTGTATAAAATCCAACTTGAATTTAAGTAACAAAAGCTTCTAATTTATGTATAATTTTTAAGGACCTTATATTGATAGCGATGCAAATTCACAACATAATGTTTCAGTATATCCGAAGAGAAGGAAAGATAGGTGCAAGTTTGTTATACGAAATTCAATTTTTATTAAAATCGAATCAATAATTGACGTTTAATTTTTTTAGAAGTCTTCAAAAAATATTTTTAACTTTTATCTCATTTGTATTCAGTTATATGAATTAGTTCAAAGCTAAATATAGTTGATAACTTTTTTGAATTAAAGTGAGAAATATTGATAAAATCCAAATTTAAAAAAAGAATTTCTATAAAAACAGATAAACTTGATCTAAATGAAAGCAAAAGGATTGAGTCAAATAGCTGTTTTAACATGATTATTTAACTAGCTAACATTGTCAAAAGTGAAAGCTTCAATGTCCAAAAGGGACCAAAGAATTAAAAAATGTCGATAACCAGCTTATTTTTTATAAATTTTTTTTACTCCAATTTTAATAATGTTTGAATTTTTAAAAATTAACCTCAACAATTGTTACACATACTATATGCATAGTATGAAATGCATTTTAACTTACACCTATTGATTTCATTAAAGTTTGCCATTTTTCCACAAATTCTGTCTTCTGATGTGGCCAAATAGTTTCTTCCCCATCATTATCTAATTTTGCATTTTACAAATAAATTTAATTAAGAGGATGCCATACGATGAAAGAAACATCTCAGATTTTTATTTCTTTTCATGAGGTTTCAAACTCTGATAAGAAATTTTTAAAATATCAAAATGAAAAGAAATTATGAGAAGATAACTTAAGATTACGCAATGAAAAAGTTTCTTTCCAATAATTTGTTCGCATTTAAATATTTCGAATTTTTTTTTTCAGCAATTCAAACTTCATGGCTTACTCTAAGCTTTCCTGAACTCACTTTTTCTTTCTTTTAAATTTCAAATTAGTCATAAGTGTGAGTTTGCAATGAAGAGTTTCTCCCTTGGTATGACGTCCTCTTAAAGGAATGTTTTAAAACTCTTACTCTTCATTCATTTAATCAAACTGTAGATGTTTCAAATTTTTATTTTAGTGTTTTCGTTTGTAAAAAATAAAATATACTAAAACTAAATCAAAATAATGAGTTATAATACTTAAAAAAAAATTACATTGTTTTTTATAATTACTGGACATTTTTTTAAAGTTTACTTACATTTTATTTATTACAAATCAAATTTTTATTAATTTTAATATTTTAGTTATGTTCTATGCTTTACTGTAAAACAATGTGAGCACTTCTAAGCAACATGCATGGCTTGACGGGGATTTCCTTAAAGACACATGTGGCGTGCTGTTAATAATTTATGACTATGCCACTTATACAATTAATAAATTTCACTGTTAGCTATTCATTACTTAAGTTATTAGAATTAAATGTATAGTAATTTTTTTAATTCTAATTATGTAAAGCCTTGTTTTTTTTTCTTTCAGATAATATTTATTCTGATGATTTGAAATCTTCCTTTCAACTGATTCTCCTATTTTTACCAAGTGCTAACAGAAGGCAACTTCATCTACTTTTGAGACTCATCAATAAAATTTTAAAAAATGGCCAGTTTGTTGTGGGAAGTAATGTAAATATGCGAGAATATGTAAGTATTTTCTTTCTGTTTTAAGAGATTTTGTAATAAAACCATTGGTGTAGGTATTGTACATGCAATGGTTTTTTAATAAAATTTAATTTTTTACTCAATTTTTACTGTAAATTTTTTGTTAACTATAAAATTTATTTATTTCACTCTTGTAATTTTTTTTTATGTATTGTAAATATTTTTTTTTTTGCTCCTTTAAAGTTGTTTAAAGAGTAAAAGCTTTGTGTGCATTAAAATTTTTCACTCGTGTTTTTGTTCCTTCTTTCATTTCGCCTTGACTGTAACACATATAGAGGGGAGACCTTACTTTAAAGTTCTTATTTATTGCTATAGTTCTTTCTTATATACAAGCCATTTAGCTCTGCAGAGGATCAAAATTGTGATGGGATGTCTTCGGGTCATCCTCAGGGATGCTTCTCAGACCATTGCGCAGCTCTAGCGCAGCATAAATAAAATACCTTTTATTCTGCCTTTATGTAGTTAAGTTTTTTTTTTTCTTTTGTTCCTTAACAAAAATAGTTTTTAAATTTAATGTTTGCTTCTAAATGAATCATTCTAAAAATGTTAAAAATCTTTTTCTTTTCTTTTTTTTAAACACTTTTTATCTGTTTACAATAATATTTTAAGAATAAGAAAAGCAAATTTAAAAAAAATAATCACTTAAAAATTTAGAAACCTTTATCATAATCAATGATTTAATTGCTGTTCTTTCTACTTCAGTACTTTCAAAGCAGTCATTTTTATATAAAATGTTTCTAAAAACTTTTTTCCGAAACTTTTCTAAAATAGTTCAAAAGCAGATATTTTTGCATAAGACTGCATTAGATTTGTACTCCAAGAAAAATAATAGTTTTGTTTCAAAATTAAGGAAGTAAGTTTATGATATTGATTAATTACTTATGTTGAATTAAGGAAACTCAATTTTAAACTGCAATCAATAAAAAAAAATTAAATTGCTAGTGTAATGGTTTAAAAAACCTTACACGTATGTTTAAAACTATAAAATACAAAATTGTCGCTGTACTTATAAAATCATTGAAAATTACAACTGTTTGCTGCTTTTAAACTCTGAAATGCTGCTTTAAGTTTGAAAAATACTTTAACTTCATATATATAGAAAATAAATAAAATGTGTTTTACATTTACATGAATTTCAGTATATTATACTTTGAGTAAAACCCGTAGTTCACAGCTATCCTGTCAGCTGTTTTTGAGTAATTTATTATGTAATTTGAATATTTGTTTTTATTTTATTACAGCTAATTGAAACATTTTTACCTGCCATTGTGCAATCTGATGACGTACCCGTTCTTTGTCTTTATCAAATGGTTGCATTTCTTTTAGACTATTGTGAAATTGTATTTCAACCTCCTCCTGGTTTAAAGGAAGAAGCCATTGAAATTTGCAAGCAATCTTCGGTAAGAGTATGGATTTTTTTAACGATACATATAGCATGCAATATAAATTTGTGAGATATGGCATGCAATATTTTTAAAGAGAGATATAGCATGCAATATAAATTTAAGAGATATAGCATGCAATATAAATTTAGGAGATATGGCATGCAATATTTTTAAAGGGAGATATAGCATGCAATATAAATTTGAGAGAGATAGCATAAAATATAAATTTGAGAGACATAGCATCAGGCAAGACAGAGAATGCAAGTCTATGAAGCAGGTTACACTGATTAAAATCAAATAATTTTTTTTAAGGAAACCAACAATTTAAAAATTTCTTACCCATCTTATTATGAATAATGATTGCATTTTAATATGAATAGGTAAATCACAATTAAAATCAAATAATTTTTTTAAGGAAACAAACAATTTAAAAATTTACTATGCATTTTAATATAAAACTGTTAAAAAAATTTATTGATTTTCATACATTAAAATTTAGTGCAAGTATATTTCTTTGTTAATAAGTTTCAAATAACGAAATTGTATTTTGTGTGTAATAGATTACAGGACTTTTTTCAAAATAACATTTTTAAAATAACAATCTAAACGAAGGAAAAAGTGAAATAAAAAATCTGATATTTCTTTTTTTTGTTGTAAAGATATTATTTGTACAGTACAGAACCCGTTATCCGGAAATCAGAAAACCGGAAAACCAAAAAACTGGAATAAAATTTGATAAATTTTCCCGCGATTTTTTTAAAAAAAAAAAAAAAAAATTTCCTCTTAAGATTTTAGGATTTTTCTTTCTTTTTTGAAAGATGTTTACCCTAGCATCATTTTGGAAATAATCATTAGTGTATTACTTCGTCTTTTCAAGATTATTTCCAAATATTTTTTTTTTTAGTTGGGTTTAATAATAAAAAAAAACGACTTTTTGTAGCGATTCAGAAAACCGGAAAAATCAGTTATCCGGAATAGCGATGGTCCCGATCGTTCCGAATAATCGGTTTCCTACTGTATTCATTTTTATTGAATTGAACATAAATTTTCTTCTTCTCAAAACTATAATGGTAATGAACATCTCACCAATTCTTATATTTCAAACACATTTTTGAAAACCACCTTCTATATTGCAATATATACTGAATCGTAGCTCAGATACAAAACAAAAATGCAATTATCCAAGTACACAATAAAAAATTTTAAATTCCAATTTTTATTCCAGTTGTAATTATATTTAGAATATTTAACTAAATATAATTTGAAACCGGACGGTTACACTTAACCTTAATAAAAAATCATTGTTGGGTGAACCAGTTAATAAAAAATCAGTGAAGGGTAAGCCAGGCAATGACACTCATATCCCTTGCATAATGAGATTATTAAAGACTAATATTAATTTATTATAATGTTTGGTGTTTTATTTGGCGTGAAAAAATTTGAGCATCGTCAACGATCCCCTTTAACGGAAGATTACTAAAATAAACGTTGCTATAACAAAGACATTACCACTTGATGGGGAACTGAAAGCAGAGATAGGGACAATTTACTCCACTTATCCAAAGAATGAATGGCTTCCCCAAAAATACTACTGAATCGAACATTTCAAAATGTATTTATCCTGTTTGCATTTTATGCATCTCTTGGTCCATTTTCGACCAGTTTTGATTAAAAAAAACTTGTGGCAATTAGAGTTGCTGCAGAATAAATGATAGTTGCAACAATTCAATGCAAAAAAGAAATTACGGATTTCCTTTCAGTTGCCTTAGGAATTTCAGTGTGTTGCAAAAAAAAAAATTATGGAATTTTTCAGAAGTTTTTGTTTTCCAGCTTCTAAAGGGGTGACAATTTTCTTCCATCTAATGTTGGAATAACTGGAAATCAGTGTTATAACAAACTAGTTAAAAAGTAAACTGTGTGAAATTTTGCAGTAAAATAATACTGAGGCTCCGTTTACCCCAGTGAAAAGAATAGTAAAAATTGTTATGGGGAAAAGTCATGATGCTAAATTACTTTGCAAAATTTAGAATAAAAAGTGGTGAGATTCGATTTGTAATATCTGATGCAATTCATACTAGAACTTATTGCTCCGATCCCTACATTTTGAATTTTTTTTTTTAAATTGACAATATTATTTTTTCATCAATATATTTGTAACTGATTCTTTAAACTTAAAAAATTATTTTTTAATTAAATTAAAAATTTCAAATGATTTATGTGTCTTAGATTAAGATTTTTTTTATTCTCATTAAAATGTTGTTTTGCTATGTAACAAATTAAAAATTACTAACTCTCAAAATTTTGCAATATCTTTAAGAAAATAGCAAATATTTAGAATAACTGAAATCATCAGAGAAATTGAAAGAAAATTTATCTGAATTAGTTTATAAGAGATTTTTAGCTTTCCTTTTTTTCAATTGGAAGTTGCATTAAAATATAATTATTTATTATGCGTTAAAAATAATATTCTTATTTTAAACAGAGGAGATAAAATGAGAATTAATTATTTTCGGAAGAGGAAATAAAAGATTGTATGATGGAATTAACTTATTATTGTAACTGTTATTAGTTACAAGTTATTCAAAATAATTTTACTCTAATTTAAATTTTGAAAATGTTTCAAAATTATTAAAATTAATGAAGTACTTGAATTGAAAATATGAAGTTCTGATTAATAAAGAAGCCAAACTACAATTTCAAACAACAGTATTAAATCATAATTTGGTTATTGAATTGTTTTCAATAAAGAAATTAATTTCAATTTAAGAAATTAATAATGAAATCAAATTAAAAGTTCAATGTGTTGTGACATTTCAAAACGACATATTGAAGAGACATAGAACTTAAAAAAATAAAAATTCTGAATATGTTCATAAAAAAAATATTTTTATCAATGTATATTACAGTTTAGTTTCAAATTAATGTTTTATTTATATTGTATAAAGAATGTTTCTGCAGTTTTATGTTATTGTACAAAGTTCAGTTTTTTTTTTATTTTTATTTTTTTATAAATATTGTGACATGTTTCTTCACTAATCTGTCAATTTGGGTATCAATAATTAGTTATGATCAAGCTCAAGCTTTGATGATTAAAGCTGTATCACTCTCAAATGTTGTTAAATTTTGTGAAATATCATGTTTTATAACCAAGAAGCTTCTTTTGATGTGCAGCACATCGTTTAAAAAATTATCAAAACTTGTGAAAATCACATGATCTGGCTACTCAATCGCATCTAGTTGTGATGCATCTGAAAAACTTCGACTAATTTCTAATTTCTTCGTCTAATTTTTTTTATAATGTTATGCAGCATATTTAAACTTTTAAAGCATGTGACGCATTCACTTTTTTGCTCTCCCTGACCTTTTATCTTTAATACTTTAGTTGCACTTTACATTTAACTAATTTTCTATTAACATAATCCCTAACTAATTTTCCTTTTTAAATCTTTGTTTATTTATTACTCATAGTTTATAGTAATTAAGGCTGTTCTTCAATATTATTATATGAAATAATGCTTTTTTGAGAATATTCTGCTATTTTTAAAGCTGTTATTATAAGTTTATATTAGTTATTCATGACTCATGTCGAGTGTTAGGTTAAGTCTTGTCTATTTTAAGCCGGCACCCTCTGTGCTAGATATAATTGAGAGAAAATCCATGTTTTTGTTTAAACGAAAAGCTTTTTGGGTGTTATTTTTCAATTAGTGAAAAAGTTCTCCAAAAACATTGTTCTCCTTAATAATAAAGTTTATTTTGTTTTCCGTCATAAAAATATGCAAAAAAAAGAGAGAATTATTTATTGATTGTAATGATTTTTATCTGTCTAAGCAAATCTTACCAGATTATAAATATTTTTAAACATTTAAGCTATTTGTTTGCAGCAGCAGTTAACTGATAATTTTTTCCTCCTGCTGTATAAGTTTAAAATTATTATTTTGCTTCAAATTAAAAGCTTTTCAAGCTGTGGCTTTTTTATTTTCCTTTGCAATAGAGCTTCTAAGATCCCCATAGTGTTTTTTAAAGCTCTTTCGCCCAGAAGAAAAAAAGCCACAGTTTAAATGCCTTAAATTTTAGGCAAAGCTGTAAAATGGAACTACATGTACTGTCTTGCCATAAAAAATTATCTGGGCTTCAAATTGAACAAATGAATCAAATTTTAAATTTTTTTAGAAATTGCCAATTTGGAAAGATTTTTTAACCTAGATAAAAAAAATTCCATTTGTTGATAATTTCTATTATTTCAGATAATGTAGTGTTGAAGTAACTTTTTAAATTTAAAAAAATTAGATCCGAAATGGTTTTCCTCTTCACAAAACTGTGGCCTTTTTTCACAATGATATTTTGAACCATTTTTAGAATTAGTATTAAGTGCGCTGGCTAATGGTAGGCTAAACGCGGGGTTGCCACGCTACCTGTAAAGCAGGGAAAAGTAAAAAAAAATTTTAAATTGTCTAAGAAATTTGGGAAATTTACATTTTGGAGCTAAAAATTTGGAAATGCCACGAAGTTTAGTTTGACTTGGTGAATGCTAAGATATCCCATTTTTGTGCTAACATTTTCCACTGAGCACATTACTTGTGCAGAAGTTTTGTTTTCCCTATTTGGTATGAAAAAAAAGTTTGTTTTTGATTAAAATAAATTATCTAGTGAGATAATGTTGGGTTTTTATGTTTCCCTCTATTTTTTTTTGTGGTACTACCAGTATATACTGCTATATTACACTGAATTATTATTATTTTTTTAAATATTAAGAACAGTTTTGAAGTCTGGGAATTTTATTATTCAACTTGAGTAGCAATCTCGTAAACATGACCTAACAGTTATGAATGACCCTCAGCAACAATTTTACCTTGGCCACGGTTGGGCTCAAAATTAGCTCAATATGAGTCCTATGTGAATATGCACCGCGGAACCAATATAGGGATGTCTAGATTTTTTAATATTGGTCCTATTGTAGGTGCAATGCCTATATTGGCCAATTAAGGAATACGAAATATTGGGGGAATCTGATAATTTTATATATGGCCGATATTGGTTGTAAAGTGGCGGTAAAATATCGGGTAAATCAGACAATTCTATCTAGGGGTAATATCGGGAAAATAACGGATCTTACAACCCTTATTGAGTCAAGTTTCGTGAAAATTGGTCCAATGTGGGTTCAAGTTATTTTGCTGCTAGGAATTGTTTCAAACTCATAACAGTTATGAAAATAGTATATCATTCACAAAAAGTATTATTTCACAGGATGTCCTAGAAAAACAGCCTTAATATGCATGCAGATAAATAATGCATGATTTTGTAGAATAAACTGCTGCTCACCTCAAAAATGTCGAATGCTCGCTTTTTCAATGGTTTTCTTGGGTTCCTAACGGTTGCACTCTTCCTGCTTATGCTCTATATGCCTTCATTCCAGATAAGGTTTTCAATGGATGATACCTGTTTTCTTACTTATTGTGAAATGGTTTCCAAACAGCAGTATGAAGAACAAAAAAAGACTACATCAATGGCTGCTCTCAGGGATCTCTTGAATAATATCATGAGTGATGGAAAATTATCAGAGAGAGAGAGAAAAAGAAAACTTAAGCAAGTATGTGTTGTTGTTTTTTTCCTGATGGCTTGTAATCTATATATTTTATTTGCAAAATTGTAAAATAGAGGAAGAAAATTTTTTAGCTCATGTAATAATTGCTAATTAAAATTTTTTTAATACTTAAACATTTTTTAAATAGAACTCCTAGTTTTGTGTATATTTACTTCTTTTTCCCTCACCAGTAGAGATTATATAAAAACTAATGTAATAATATTAATATAATTAACATAGAAGTTTTTATTATAGTAATAATGATAAAATTATTCACAAGATACGAAATTTAAAATTTACTTACTCCAGAACTAATTCAATTTGAAAAAAAAAAATATTTCTATAGATATCAGGACATGGTAAAAGACTTCAAAAAATTACCAAAAATAGCAATTTTTAAAATTATGAATTTCAAAACAAATTTATAATTTTAAAAGAAAAATGGAGATATGTGACACATTTTGGTATAAGAACAAAAAGCTGCAGAAAAATAAAAAAAATCATACTAAAGTAAATATATTTTGCTAAACTGAATTATGCAGTGTGAAAAAAAATCTAACATAAAATAGCTCATGAAATAGTGTTTTTACTATAATAATTTCATAGATTGTTCTCCAAACCTTTTTCTAGAACATGCAATATTGTTTCATAACTATTTTTGGGATATTATAGAAATGCTGAAACAGCAGCATTGGTAATAGCGCAGGAATATCAGTTACTTTTTTTATGCAGAGGGTTGATTTTTTAATTTAATTCAAAAGTCTAACTTTTTTTTTTTCAGTTTAAAAACAGCCATCCTGATATCTACATGCTTCAGTTTCCAGAACGAGTTGAACACACTGCTAAACAAAAAAGTTCTTTTTTCAACAAGCTTGTCAATTTAAGAATGTAGGAAAAATGAACTTTTCCATGCAAAGATTTTACTTAGAAATTTGGAAAATATTTTTTTGTTTTATTTTTTCTCCTTAATGTGAGATCCAATATATTTGGCATGATATGATGATTGCTAAAATTTTGTCAGAAATTTTATCAAGAAAAAAGAAGAGCTATATTTTCTTATTGTAAAGTGTTTATAATATAATATTTTTATAAACTTTAGTAATTAGTGTAACGAAAGTGTTCTACTGATATTGCTTCAATATGTTTGCTTTGTGAATGTTTTTTTTTTAAATAAATTTGTATTTTACTATCAGTAAAGTTAAATTAAATTTATTTACTGATCTGTAATTTATTATATATTTACTATCTTTAATTAATTTATGTATCTCATCTTTATTTTTTCTTGTCAAGTTCTTAGAATAATATATTTACATAAACTTTTGCAATAAATATAATTAAATTATCCATATTCAATAGATGCATTTTTATATGCTAATTGTTTTGTGAACGTATTTATATTGGGAATATCTTTTTAATTCAAATTTGTATTATATTTTATGTAAAGTAAAATTTATTTGCAAACAAGTAATTTATATTAATATGTTTAAAAGTAAAAAAAAAAAAAATCACATAAGAAGTGAATCGAATTTATGTATCACAATGTGCTCTAAATTAGTCAAAGTTTTACTAAAATCATTTTTTTAAGCTGAATTAAATGTATTACGTAAAAGTTAAATGTTTTTTTTGTTGTTGTTGTTGTTGAGAAGATAGCAAGATATTGGATATTAAAAATGATTAAATATTAAAGTCGATTATTTATTAAAGACTGTTTTTTATTCTTTCTTTTATCTCTATCAATGAAGTGCTTTTTTGTCTTGTAATGATAAATCAATTATTTGCCTTATACATTTCGCTATTAACTGGTGGTGTTCATTTATTTATTTTTATTAAGAGAACAAATGTAATGTATGATATTTTTTTACCCCTGAAATAAATTTGGAGTATTTTTGTGAAGTTACCAGAGTTTTTTATTATTATTTACAATTTGTGTTTATAATCAAACTTTTCTTTTTGTTTTGAGAATTATTGCCATATTATAAAATTTATTAATTTACAACAAAAAATGTAACTTTTTTGTAAATTTGTGTTTTTTTATAAATTGTAAATAGTTAATAAAACTTGAAAGAAATTTGTATTACATTACTGGGGTCCACAGTCGTTTATTTTTGGAGGAATATATTTTTTACTTTACCTTATTTTCACAAAAGACTATTTATATGATACTGCATGATATAATTTTTTTTCCATGCAATTTTTAGAGTTTAATTAAAGAATATTTATTACCTGACTTGTATATTTGTATTTTATTTTCAGAGGTTTATTTTTTTTAATAAAAAATTCCTTTTTTTGTATTATTTTGTTACATAGAGTTAATAAATAGTGCTTTTTAATAAGTTATCTTCTTTAATAAGACTCCTCATTACAACAGCATTTCATAAAAGCAACCAATGCATTAAGACTCTTGCTATTTAAAAGATGTATTGTTATTTTTATGTCAATTAGAATGTCCGATGTTCATTCTAATAGGAGACCAATATTTACATAGTTGCTCTTTTCTTTCTGAAACAATCACTTCAAGAGCAATTGTTAAGAATTTTTTTTTTCTTCGAGCTTTTGTTACAAAATGCTTAGTTTGAAAATTAGTAATTTAATGGCAAAAAAATCATTTTAGTCACTTTTACGCACATATAACATCAAATACATTGAATAAAGGAAAAGTTATAAGGCACATAGATTCATATTCTAGGCGGTTGTTATCTATGGTCCAAAAATTAAAGTAAGGAAAAAATTTATTACTTTAAATTATTGACAATTAAAAATAAAAAAACACTTGAATGAAAAGAAAGGCTCATAATGTCCTGCATGAATTAATTAGGCGATTTATTAAACGATGCCTTTCTAAGCTTTGCTAATTTCTAAATGAAAGGTACTATGTCATTCATATCTTCTTGATTAAATTCTTTATTTTATATTTTTGGAAAATAATTTTCTTTTTTTTTTTAGAAGTTAAGACATGTGGTAATTACAATTATACTTGATATTGTTCAGACTTAGCAGTTCTACAAATGCAGATATGATTGTGTTCCGGAAAAAATCCGGATTTCCGGAATTATCACTTACCGCGATCCGGAAATCCGAGGTCTAGAAGTTTCAAGAAATCATCAATTACAATTATGTCTAAAAATTCTTGTATATTTTATTTAGAAATATTCGAACTAGAATTTATACTTGGCATCTCTTTCATTTATAAATATTTTTTCTTTTAAAATAATAAATGCGATTAGACATAAAATTAAACTTAAACATAATTATTCATTTAAATTATGCTGCATATAATTTATTTAGAATTTCATGTTTTTAAAATATCGATGACTTAAATTTATGAAGACATAAATTTTTAGAAATGTGTCATTAATGATTTTACTCTAGAAATTTTCAGGGTTTTAGAGTTGGGCTCGCAATCACCCCTGAAAATGTGTGTTAGCATTTAAAGACTTGACACTGAAAGAAAATTGTTGCTTTCAACGTGTTGGTTTAATATGTAATGTTACCATAAATTAATTTGTCAGTTTCTTATTTTTTTATTGGTTAGCAAGGTTATGTCAAAATTAGTCCTGTATTTATTAGTCNTGGCTAGCTGGTGATTATACATTATTTTATTTAAAACGTATTTTCTTCTTTTTAGGCACGTTGTACCCCACGTGCCTCAATAGCAACTATAAGGAAATCCTTGTGATAATCGTCAAAAAAAGGGATAGAAAGATCACACTGATTTAAGATGAAATCTACGCAAATTGAGTGTGTCAAAAACTTAAACGCAAAAGTTAAAATTTCCGATTTTTTTAAAGTAATTATTTTATTTAATTATGCAAAAAAATGTAATTAAAATTTGCAATTAGTTAAACCTTTTAATGCCGGATCGGAAAAAATGAATTGGTTTTTAAGACTAACAAATAGTTAACAACATTACTTTCCGGTCCCCCTAATAATTAAATCGAACTTCTTTCATTAGTTGCCAAATATGATTCACTACAGAATGAAGATTTTTTTTTTTTCCTTCACATTTTTCCCAAACATGCGCTGTATAAAATGACTTTAATTACTGATATCTTGCTTAGTCTAAAGCAAATTTCTCTCAAAAGTTTTTGTTCAGTTTCATTAAATATTTTTAAAGTTAATATTGAATTAAATATTTTTTACCGACCACCCTGAATAACTTTTGACTTAATGATCGGATTTTCGCGTTTTAGGTTCAATGGTTCGAGGGAGTGACCTGAAATATGCTAATTTAGTGCAAACAATATTTTAAATTGCGACACAAAATCGTACTTCCTCTGAATAAACATACCTTTTTTTCGATGAATTCGGATTTTTGGCCAGCAAGTTATAAGGGGTAGCCGCAATCTGGAAAATTTGGTCCCCATAGTTTGGTTAGTAATGTAAGGTTTGAACGCCGTAATGTTAATTTTACTTTTTGACTGTATTTCTCCATCACACAAATTTTTTTTAAGCAAATGAAAAACTTTCTCACACAATTACAAAATTCGTTAATCCAAAGATAATTATAAAAAATAAATAATTTTTTGTAAGCCTAAAAAATTTTGAATTAAAAGGATTAAAATATCTTACGTCATTTTACATGACAAAATACGAAATTGGAATAGAATCTGAAAAATCGAATTTTAAAGAAATCGTGTATTTAAAATTCGATTTCTCGGGATCTATTCAGCAGATTTTGTATTTTGCCATGCGAAATTATATGCTCTAAAATGACGTACAAAATTGTAAAATTTTTTGACTGCCATTAAATAAAACAATAAATATTTACTAAAATTTATAATTCGTATGAAATTATCTTTGAATAAAATTTTTTTTAATTGTATGCAAAAATGTTTCAATTCGCTCAATCAGTTCTCCATATCGTGAAATATGCAAAAAGTAAACTTAGTATTAAAGGTTTCAAATTTTAGATCACTCTCCTATGACCAAACTATTTTATTTTATATCCGTCGTTGAACAGCCGACACAATTTTGGGTTTATGACCATTAATGTTCAACTCCTTAGTCTTGTAATTTTGAAAAAATCTAGAAGACAAGGAAAGTCCTGGATCAGTATCCCGCAGAGGTATTGATTTGTTATAGGAACATGAAGGACATTGCGACTCGACAGATTTAATGTTCACCATTTACTACACAGGGAGTTTTTGGCCGGCCTGGGATCAAACTCACGCGAACTCTTGAACATGGGGCCAGTGCCCTACCAACCAGGCTATCCCGGCACTGACCAAACTATTGCGGCCACCCCCTATATTTCGTGAGTCAGGAATCTGAGTCCGTTGAAGAAAGGAAAGTATTGTTTGCATATTTGAGTTCATTTCTTCGAACCTAAGATTGAGTCCTAAAACAAGAAGATCCAATCCAGTAGATCTTACGTCCGTTTCTTTTTTTTGGTGCACCGTACATGGTTAGCTTTATCTCAAAGCTCCGTATAAAATGAATTTTTTTTCTTCACATTGTATAAAGAATAGATTTTTAACTAGTACATAATAAAGCAGTTGTAATTGAGCAATTTAAGTGAACAATTCAAGTCATCCTCAAGAAAACACAAATTTTTTTGTCACTTCCTCAGAGTTCTTATCTAGGCCACCACATACCTTGATATTTTTATTGGCTATGGTTAACTATAACACAATACTCTTTTAAAAATATGAGTTTTTTTTTATGCAGTACAAAAGAGTTTTTTCCAACTAGTATGAAACAAAGTAGTTCTAATTTAGCAATTTAATTAATCTAATTTAACCGCTCTGATAGAATTTGTTGCGTTAAATTGATTTCTCTTTTAAAAAAAGTCATTGACTATTAATTTCTTTTAAAGAAATTATCAATTCAAAATATTTTAATATATTAATTTTTTAAGGCTTTTAAAGTCTAACTTTTATTGTTGTGTTTATAAATTTAAAACCCATTAATTAATACTTATCTAGTTATCAGGGTTGCCACTCAAATCTGGAAAAAAAATTCCCTGTGTTTTCCCTGTACATGTTATACGCAATATATTAAGAGGAAACAACAATTACTGTGCTCTCGTGTGAGCTATATTGGGCTAACAATATTTATTAGTTTCAATTGCTGGAAAAACAGCTGAACATACTNTTAGGCTTTACAACTCCACAATGCAGTACAAAAGAGTTCTTTTTAACTAGTATGAAACAAAGTAGTTCTAATTCGCGATCGCAACACTCGAATACGCCATCTGGGGAGAGACCGGTTTCATGCCTTTAGCCCTTCTCCCTTCCCTCTTTTCAGTTATATAGGAATGTACTACGATATTTTCCCTTTTTACTTAATAAAAATATTTTTAAAAATTTCCGTGATACTTTTCTTTAGAACTATGTTTAATGTAGTTTTCAGTACCATATAGTTTTTCAAGTTAAAAGATTTTAATCTATATGAAAATCAAGAGAGAAACTAACGTACTTCCTTCCTCTATGACTTTCCACACGCTAATGGGGAAAGCATGTGAAGTGTTGCCATAGGAAAAGTTTTCTGCTCTACGCCACCTGCAGCCCATTTCGATCGCCAATTTAGCAAACCACCAAAAAACCGCTCCGACAGAATTTGTTGCGTTAAATTGATTTCTCTTTTAAAAAAAAGTCATTGACTATTAATTTCTTTTAAAGAAATTATCAATTCAAAATATTTTAATATATTAATTTTTTAAGGCTTTTAAAGTCTAACTATTAGTGTTGTGTTTATAAATTTAAAACCCATTAATTAATACTTATCTAGTTATTTGGCAATAAAAAAAAATTAATACTTAGTGTGATTAATTGGAGTACATATGAAGTGACTTTTAAGCACTGAAAATTTTCAGAGAAACAGGGTTAATTTAATAAAGAAACCAACTGCCACAAAAAAAAAAGCTAAACAATTGTTGCTTTTGTAATTTGCATCTTGAAAAAAAAAAGCTTGGAACTGAATTTCTATGATTGAAATAGTTTGTGAAAAATGTTTAAAAAAATGATTTTATATTACAATCCTTTGTCAAATCAATTAGCTTACGCTTGTTAACCGTGAATAATATACATACCTGCCAACATGGGAGAAATAAAATAACGGAGATTTTACAAACTGTCCTAATTTTGGGTTTTCTTGGATCAAGTATTGGGAGAAATTTGCTTTGTGGAGGACTTTTTTTTATGGAACTAACCCACATTTGCGTCACATGGACAGGGAGACCACGAGAACTTCCCACGATTAGCTTGACAAGGTGACTCTAACCCACGGTTCGTATACGGCTGAAGATATGTCACGTCACATTGTAGTCGGGGCAAGCCGGATGTGGAATTCGTATCGACCAATCATGGCTGGGATTCAAACCTGGGTTTACCTCATTGGAAGACGAAACACTCATCTCCTGAGCCATCAAGGCTAGACTTAAACTATTAACACTCAACCTACTGCAGTACTGGCAATAGCACCATCTGTTGAAGAATAAGAGAAGTATTCTGTCATCAATGGACATTTTATCCCCAATCTTTTTTTTAAATTTCTTCAACAAATACGGAGAAATTTGAGAATATACAGGTAAACAGGAGTCTAGGCAGGTATTAATATAGTACATAATCTGGATTTAACGGTTACAATAAGTGGACAATATTCATTCATCCCTAATTACGAAAAAATTATTTCAACCTTTTTAACATACATTGTGGAATAAATAATTCATCGAAGAAATTTTTATTAATTCCCTAGAGTAAATATACTTTAAATTATTTATTCATTTCAGTCGTCAACTCTGTTTCATTACACTACAAATATATTTATTAAATTTACTTGAGCTGTATAGAAGTAAGATAATTATAAAAGTTTACGAAAAGTATAAACAAAGAAGTATTTCATTGCAAGGAGAATGATGAAAGAATTACACTGCTAAGTCTCACAAACTGAATTTTATTACAAACATTGATCTTGTACAACACTTTTTCTTTTAAATATAACAGAAAATTAAGAAATAACAAAATAATTTAAAATACTTAATTTAATAAAGAGGTAATTAAAAACATACAGAACTGCTAGGAATATTCTGATCAGAATCAATTATTTAATTACATACTTAAGTTTTCAATTTAAATAATATTGAAATTAAAAAAAGCTTGAAAAAAATGTAAGATGGGTTAATATAAATTTAAGATAGGTACATACGAAGAAAAGTTTCACTGTATTAATACTTAAGCATAACAGACAGCTTAACTGTATACCTATTATAATGAGATAATTTACAATGAATACAAATGAATGCCTGGTAACTACAAAGTCTAGTACACAATTATATAATGAATGAAATGAGTTAAAAACATGTAGCACAAAACTAAACATAAGTTATAAAATCAAGCTTAAAATTATATTCTAAAATTGAAATATGCATATGTTGAAGATAGAATGAAAGATGCATTTTATTTTTTGCACCAGACCTTATTGGAAATGAAGGTAGAAAATATGTACAAACCATAGGAAGTGCTGGAAATTATCAATGAAAGAATTCAGGAGGTTAAATTATAAATATTAATGCGAGATAATATAACCACAAACCAAAATATAAAAAATCATAGTAACATTAATCGTTGTAATATAACAATAAAAAAGACGGACAATTTTACAATGTCGTTATTGCTGAGGAGTTAAAAAAAATCAATTTTTAATTGTTTAAATAAATGCAGAGACAGACATGGTGTAAATAGATCTAAACACACATTTAAACACTCATCCAATTTAGAAACAATGTACAGTTCCACTATTTTTAGGTAACACTCCTGATAATGATGTCAAAGATATTAACTTTTACAGCCTTGTATAAGCAACGTAAGCTTTAAAAAATGCACCAGTTTGTATCGTTACGTCAAAATGAAAATATTGTGCTTCTTAATCACATGTTCATTAAAAGTTTTTATGAATCACTATAAAGTAAATTAGGATGATTAATTTATAAGCAGTTTAAAAATCAGAATCAGATCCAAAGTCATATGCAATCGCCGCCTTTGCTCGCCCGCTTCTAGGCTGTGTGGCCTTAGGAGGTGGTGAATCATTATCATTCGCTGAAAAATCACTTCCCCCAAAATCCTCAGAATCGGAATCCATCTTCTTCTTCTTTGCTTTAGATTTAGTTGGCTTTTTTGCTCCACCTTCAGCAGCTTTTTTCTTTGGAGCAGCTTTCTTCACAGTCTCTTTCTTTTTAGCTTTAGGCTTAAAATCATCCTCAGAGCTGCTATCCTTTTTACGAGGTCGTTTCTTGGGAGCTGGTTTGGAAGATGGTTTCTCAGTCACAATCTTGAAACTGTCATTTGAATCTGATTCACTATCAGAATTTTTGTTTGCAACTATTGTAGCCTTATTAGATGGTTTATCATTGTTCACATCCCCTCCAAGGAGAGAATTAAAAAGATCATCATTGGATTTTGCATTTTGTTCAGCAGGTTTTTCTGGATAGCTATCAGAATCGCTATCCGATGGAATCGGAGAAGAAGCACCATTCAATTTCTCTTTTGGCTCTTCTTTTTTAGGAGCTGGTTTTGGCTTAGGCTGAGTCTTTTTAGGTGGAGGAGCATCAGACTCTTGATCACTATCATCTATTGGATTAAAGTTATCTTCTTCATCATCTTTCTCTTCATCACTATCAAAAGTGTATTTAGACTTAGCAGCAGCTCTACGAGGAATATCTCTCTTTTCAGGTGGAATGTAATCTTCTGCTGAAACATCAACTTCAGAAAGATCAGAGTCAACATTTGATTCTGAATCAGACCAGGGATTTTTCTTTTTACCTTTACCCTTTGAGGGGGATTTTTTCTTTTCACCAATCGATGTGAATGTTAAAGCAGTTTGCTTTAATTTCTTAGGTCCTTTCTCCTTCTTAGCTGGACTTGCATTTATTCTTTCAGATAAGGATAGCTCTTTTTCATCTTCCCCATCTTCAAGTTTTACATCAGCCAGTTTCTTTTTACGTCCTTTTTTAGCTTCACCTGGTACAGTTGGTTTCTTCTCAAATTTCTTTTTGTACTCGTCACCAAGCTCTGGAACAATTCTTTCTCCAAATGGGGATGGTTTAACTTCATCTTCTTTAGCTCTTTTCTTTCCTTGGCCTTTACCTTTAGGTTTTACAACTCCAGCTTCCTCCTCTTGTTCTTGTTTTTCAATCCTGTCAAGTTCTGCCAGAAATTCTTTGAGATCTGCTTTCCATAAATCATAGGGTGTTTTACGTTTCAAGTCTTCCAATTCCTTGACCTTTTCATCTCGCTTTTTCAAGAGTTCATCTTTCTTTTCTCTAGTTAAACTCCATAAAGTCATTCCAAGTAAATAGTCATAATCTGGTCCTGAAGTATCAACTTCTTCCTTTTCATTATCAGAATCATCAGCTTTGCTTTCATCAGTATCAACTTTTTGAGCTTCCTTCCAGGCTTTAACTGGATCCGAGTCGTAACCTCTCTCAATTAAACATTTAATCATTTCAAGCTTCTTGCGATTTTCAATAGTTAGTTTTCCTTCAATTTTTTCAAGAATGAATCTTGCCTGATTCTTAAGTTTTAATGCCTCTGCTTCCAAGACACCAACCATGTAACTTTTACGTTTCTCGTAAAGTTTAGAACGCACCTCGAAAAATTCTTTCAGAATTTCAATTGCACTCTCATATTTTTTCAAACACCCTAAATGATCAAATAAAACCATAGAACTTAAGGAAAATGTTGTGGTTAGCTTAAAAAATTTATGAAAACCTTGATTTCGAGCTTGATTAAATTTTTCTGGCGTCATACTAACAACAAATCTCACAGTTGTGTCGGTATGATATTCTTTGTAATCTGTGATTAAAGGGATAAACTTCTCCTCTTTTTTCCCTTTATCATCTTTCTTATCCTTACCATCATCTTTACCATGTAACATAGTTTCTAAAACCGATTCTTTATAAGCTTGAGTCCAAACTCTAACAGGAAGTTCAGTAATCTCTATCTTGTTATCTTCTAAAATTGCTATTTCACCACTTACAGCATAATGTTGATTGTCTATCTTTTCTATGGTGCCTCTGAAATTTTTAAACCATGGGGCGATCTCCAAGGGCTCTCCACCATCTATCATTCTCAAAATGTTTTTCACAAGATCTCTTGGATTGTAGTTATAAATCTTAGTACTCCATCCAGTACCAATACCTTCAGCTCCATTGACAAGAACCATAGGGATAATAGGTACATAATACTCAGGTTCAATTTTCAAATTATCATCATAGAGATTATTTAGGAGAGGAGTATCTAAAGCCGAAAACAAATGTTTGGTAATGGGACTCAAATTTGTGAAAATATACCTCGCGCTGGCAGCATCTTTACCGCCTTGTAGACGAGTACCAAACTGTCCAATTGGTAACAAGATATTTATGTTGTTGCTGCCAACAAAATTTTGGGCCAAACCTATGATTGTTCCTGTAAGAGCTGCTTCACCATGATGGTACGCTGAATGCTCAGCAACTGAACCAGCTAGCTGAGCCACTTTCACTTCTCGTTTATCATTTCTCTTAACACAAGTGTAAAGAACTTTACGCTGTCCTGGTTTTAAACCATCAACCATAGATGGAATAGATCGTTCATTGTCTGTGTTACTAAACAGAATCAACTCTTTGTTGACAAAGTCATTATAGGTGATCGCCTCAGTATTTTTACCATACAAATACAATTCTGGAAGGCCCAATTCACGCCTACGTTTCCTTTCTTCCATGCCATTAGTTAACCATTCCTTACGCATATCTACCATTTTCTTACTAAAAGCCAACTGGATAGCATTATCATCATCGGTGCCATTATAATGGAATCTTATACGATGACGTTTCATGTCGGAAAAATATTCCTTAGCTTCTTTAGCCGTGCTGGTACCCAAACCTTTGTAGTACTTTACTTTATACTTAGGCCAGTTTGGGGTAGCTGCTTTCCATTCTTCAAATTCTGGGATACTGTAGAAACACAGCTCTTCTTTACCTTTAGAAGCTTTAACAATAGGAGTGATGAATTCTTCAAGAAATGGCAATCTTAACAAACTAGGCCAATTATGATGAATAAAATTAATGAGCAAACCTTTTATGTGAGATCCATCTTGATCCTGATCTGTCATTACCATAAGACGACCGTAGCGCAATGTTTTTAAATCGTCAACAGTCTCATACTTTTTCTTATACTGCAACCCCATAATTTTAATGATGTTATTTATTTCAGCATTTGCCATGATTTGTTGATGAGTTGCTTCGCGTACATTCAAAACTTTACCTTTCAAGGGAAAAACACCATATTTATCTCTGCCAACAACACCCAATCCGGAAACAGCTAAAGATTTAGCTGAATCTCCTTCCGTTAAAATTAAAGTACAATCAATTGAATTTCTTGTTCCTGCATCATTTGCATCTTCTAATTTAGGAATGCCTCTTAACTTAGTTTGCTTTTTTCCGCTGCATTTTTTATTGAGCTCATTTTGAGCTTTAAATCTTATCCATGACATAATGTTCTCTATGACACCACATTTCATAGCTTGGTTAATAAATTTTTCACTTAGAGCACACTTGGAGCCAAAATTCTTTTGTACTAATGTCATATTTTCTTTAGTTTGAGAATCAAATGTAGGATTTTCAATTAAACAATTAACAAAAACCCATAAGTGGGTCTTTATTTGGAAAGGTTTAGCATCTTTACCTCCTTTATTCTTTTTCTTGATAACTTCAGCAATTTTAGTTGTCAGCTGATCTGTTACATGGTCTACATGACGGCCACCTTTTGTTGTGGCTATACTATTTACAAAGCTGACTTGTTGAAAACCATGATCACTATTGGTAACAGCTACTTCCCATCGATCATTCACTACCTCATGAACAACTTTAAGAGGTTCGCCATTGTCATCCATTTTGTCTTTTAAATAAAGTTCTATATAGTCCTTGAAACCTTTCACTGGTAATCTCTTTCCATTCAAGTGTACTTTTACACCACGGGTACTGCCTACTATATCAAATGCACGTCTAGTCAGTAGGGCAATTGTGTCTTTGTCCAAAACATCCATCTTAAATTTTGGTAGATCCGGATAAAAAGATATACAGGTGAAATCTGTTCCAGAGAAGGATGTAATTTTAGGATCCTCAGTTTTAGTCATATTGTTTGTCCAGGTCTGCTTAAACTGCTTACCGTATTGCTTTGATGCCGTTTCGACAACAAACTTGGTGCTGAAGATATTACATAATTTAGCACCATAACCATTCCTACCACCGGTTACCTTTCGTTCTTCATCATTATAATTTGAAGAAGTCAACAAATGTCCAAATATCATGGTAGGTACAAACATTTTTTCATCTTTGTGTTCAACAACAGGAATACCCTGACCATTATTCCAGATGCTTATTTTATTTTTTTCAGCATCAATTTCAATTTTAATGCAATCCATATTTTTATCTCGCTGCTTATTATCGGCAGCGTTAACCAATATTTCGTCAAATATCTTATATAAACCGGGAACAAATGATATTTCTCTATTAACCATACCAACACCATCATCGTAAACCCACATAGGCTGTTTAACATGTTCTACAGATCCGATGTAAGTGTCAGGACGGAGCAAAATGTGCTCTAATTGAGTTTTCTTTTGATAAATTCGTTCAACAGAGAGTTTTTTATTACCTTTTTTAGGTTTAGGCTGCTCATCCATTTCCCAATCATCACTTAAATCGCTATTATCCGACATTATTTCCCCTTATTCTTTTGCCGGCTAAAATGATCAACAATATAATCGAACAAAAGAATGGCGTTAAGGCTTATTTTCATTTCGAACAAGCAACGATCTTTTGCATCATGTTGCCAATATAAAATATGTAATGATTCGTTTGAAATCTAAAATAATTGACTATGTTTGAAAACAATATTTGATGCATCTATAAATAAATTTTACTTTAGATTAAATTTTTGTCATCAGATTTGTGATTTTCGATTTCTGTTTATAAACTTAATTTCTATCAGGAAATTGTTTTCTCATTTTGACTGTAACCGAATTATATAAAATTATTATTTGTTGACGACCATTTTGCTGTAGTTGGTCTTTCATTTTTGATCCATCCAAGAAATTTGACTATTTTAAAGCTTAAAAATGAAAATAGATTCCAATAACGAAGAAAATATTCAGAATGAAGAAGCGGGGTTTGTATATCAAATACTTTCATAATCGTTATCTTTTATTGTTTCGGTAGTTATGATTTCTGGTTCAAAGATACGGCGTAAAAATAATAGAAATATTAAATAAGAGCAGATTTGTTGTATTTAAATCCAATACTCTCATTAACAGTACTAGAAAAAGTACATTTATTAATATCTTCTTTCTTGAAAAGTTTTTCTGTTATTTGCTTTAAGATATTTGCATTGAATTAAGTAAGCAATTTTAAGTTTAAAATTTTCTAAAATGTCCTTTTTTTTCCCCGGCGATTTTTTTATTTTTAGAAAACAGAGATAATGCGATAAAATCGCATTATAAATAACAGGATAAGGGAGAAGTTTGTATATACAGTATAATCTCCTAGTTACAGTACCCAATCTAAGGGACACACCATTCTTGGGGAGTTTTCAGTATTGTGATCTGTGGCAGAATGATCGCCAAGTCTAGGTAGCTTCCGGGTAGCGGTCGGTGAGAAACTTAAAAGAACATCAAGAAAGAAACTAACTTTAGTGGTATAACTTGTAGCCACCACTGGGCAAACATCTACATGTTTTTTTTTTTTAAAAATGCAATCATATTAATTTTCATGTGGTTTTAAAATCAAACATCAAGATTCCTATTATGATGATTTTTAAATTTAATAGTGAGATTTGAATATCACACATTGAGATTTATTATTCTCACTAGTTAAAAAAATAAAATCTTGCATCAATGTTTTTATTGAAACGTTAATAACATTTTGGGGATAAATGCATTCTACATACACTTTTTATCTTGTACAAATTTCAGGCATTTATATAAATATTTAAAAAGTGTATTTGCGTATAACACTCTTAGATTTCTATCTGCATTTTTGGTTTTTTATTACTCATCCCTGTGGTATGATTCGATGTTGAGTTTTGCAAAAATTAAAATTTGCTTAAAAAAATGTGTGCAGTAAATTAAAAAACCCAATCTCCCCCGTTTTGAAAATCAAACATCCTCATTTATTGAAGAAAAAAACATGTCATGTTTGTTGATAGAATGTACATTTTTTTCTTTAACTCTGAAAAACATTAAATATCATTTGTACTTATTAAATGGCAATCTTAAAGTTAGGTCTTCATATTACTAAGAACCCTAATATGTGATAATCTAATATTTAGATCAAAATTAAGGTGTTTTTTTTCCCCCTGCATACAGTATATTTATAATATATTTTTTATTAATTACATTTTAGTTTACATGTTTTTTAAAAATTTTTTTAAATGAAATAAAATTATTTTTCTTAAGATTTTGATCGATAGAATTGCAACTTTTTGATTTTATAAATTTCTTTTATAGAAAGCTGTTTGTTGGTGGTTTGAGTTGGGAAACCTCACAAGGTAAAAAACAAGTATAATAGTTTTTATTATTTTCAGTGATGTGTTGGGTAATAAACTCGCACATTGTACCTCGAAAAAAGATCTAAATCACTTGTTGCATTCTTTTATTAGCTGCTGAAAGATAAGAATGATAAGTTTAATCTGATGGAATATAAATGAATTTTCCATTCTGTAATTTATAAATTTCCTATTTGCAGGGAATATAAATGTGTAACTCAGTTACAAAAAAAAAAGTCAATCAGTTCTAATGATCTTTGTTAAAATAACTCTTTGTGTCATTTACGCATACACCAATTTTTAGTAACTTTCATTTTTTATTTTTTTTTAACATTTAAATTGTGTTTTAATGGTTAAAATTTGGGTGTTGCAGAATAACGCAATATGTTAAGTTCATAAAATTTTTATATCCATATGTTTTTTTGCTTTTTTTAAATAATATATTTCTAAGAGTAACTTAGATTTATTCATTTAAAGTCTGCCCAAGAGAGAGGAGTGTGATTGCCCAAATACAGTAAAATCTCTTTTTAATGAACACTAGATTTTCCGACATTTCTATTTTTTGATAACCCGGTTAACTCTGGCTCAAGGTGCCTTGGCACATGTTTCATCATGACTGTTGCATTTTAAGGGTTCAACCAGTTCGACAGATTCCGTCATTAGTGGGGGTTTTTTTCTTGAAGGACTTGTGCTATTAACCTTTATATAAATTAAATTACTATTGTGATGACAAGTCTAGAAAATAAAATAAAAAACTAAAAAGAAAAATGCATTACCTTTTTCTCTTGACATTGTGTTCTTTATGGTAGAAAAATAAAACATGTGCAAAACTTCTAACCCTTAGGCTTTGGGCCTACATCTCGGGCGTTTGTGTCCAGTCTTAGGATCTCAAGTCTCCAAAGCAAATTCTTAGCCTTTTTTTAAAAATAAGTATATGAAATGGTGGTCATATACATAATTTGCATACCGCTCTTATAATTTTCCAAATCAGTGATTTTGTAGTTTAGTGTATTGAGGTCCTGCAGTGGACTGATCTTTAAGACACTGTTCCCAGCAGATCACCTAAGTCAAGCATCACTGGCAGGGGTCAGTGTGTGGGTGGTTGACCACTTGGATCAGTCCGTGTAGGAGCCGAGGGTGTGCGGTATCGGTCCTTGTTAAATTGTTCTACCCTAAAATGCAGGTTGTGCTTCCGAAGCAGGGGTGCCATCGCCTCTGCAGAGGACCAAAATGGTGATGGCATGTTTCGGATTATCTTATGGGATGTTTCCCAGACTGTCACCAATGGCCCATTGTGCAGCTCTAGTGTGCCATAAATGAACTACAGCTACAACAAGTGTATTGAGTTTATCATATTTCCATTTTAAAATTTCGTAATATCTGATGAACAAAAAAATAAATAATAATAATTGTTAATAGTGTGTTTGCCAAGTTAAAGTTGCTGATATAAACCATTCTTCACCCATGACCTGTGGGATAATATTCAGCCTCATAACAAAAATCCAGACTGAATTCTGTTATTTTTTTAAGCAAGCTTCAGAAACTTCTTGGCAAAAAAGGCTTCAGAAAAAATTAATAAATGACATTTGTTAAAAATGTTAAATTAGTCATTCGGTCAGTTTTAAATAAAATAGATTAATATGTTATTTTGAAATATTTGGGGAATGAAAAAGTTATTTATATAAATTTAATTTAATGGATGCGCAAATTTAAATAGTTTTTTTTTTAATATTATTGTTTTGCTATTATATATTGTTACGCTATGCTGAGTCTTAAGGCTTTTTGAATTTCTGAAGTTGGCATGTAGGCAAGCATTTTTTTAAACTTTTTATTATACAATAATTATGTTGAGTAATCATACTAATTGTTAGTTGTTTACTTAATGTACTTCAAAAGGTCTCTCGATAACCGGCAATGTAAACTTTTTGACCTGTCCCTTGTTTCATGGGTGTCGGAAGAATCAGGGTTCTACTTTACCATAAATAAAGATTGGATTGGCGTAAGAAATACTAAAAAAAAGCTAACTGTTATTCAAATGAGCAAATCTGATTACATATTGGTCCTTAGACAATAATGATTGCCTTTAACATAACTCCATAACACGAGACCTGACATCAGACACTGATGTTATAAATGTAACAGAAACCTGATTTTTCACCTCCGATTCTCCTAGCCTACTTTTAGGCAAGCTTTGTCAGGAGAAGATGATTCTTAGTCGAACTGGGAATCAGGCGCGTGATGATTAGCTCTTAGTGTTACATTGTAATTTCATCACCTATCCTTACAAGATGGAGTTCTAAGCTTCAGGAATATTGTTAATTTGACAAGCCTTTTTTCAAATTTGTGGCGTCAGAGAATGGCTTTGGGATACCTTTTTTCAGTCCTCATGCAAATAGAGTGTAAGGACCATGTACTATATGAAAAAATCATTATTGTTTCTAGGTTAAGTTATTAGTTTGCAACTCTATCAGTTTTTGTTTCCCCTTCTCTATCCTCTTTACACCAGATGGCTTCAAGTCTTTTTTTCCAGACGCCCCTGTCCTCCATTTGGTTTTGCTTTGCACAGGTCTTGGTGCATGTATCTTTGTCAAGTAAATCTCAGACTTCCTCTTTTGCATTTTACATCAGGTGCCCAAGTAAGTGCAATGTTAGCTTGGCTGTCACGTTTTTGACGAAGGATATGTCTAGCCCATCTCCATCTTCTCAAAATTTCCTCATATGTGATAATTTTGACTTTATTGGTAGATCTTTGTTTGAAATTTTTAAAATTATTCTTAAAAAATTGCTCCAGTTTTTCTCTCTTGGTTTAGCAGAGGCTCCAATATTCAGCACCATACGAAGGTATGGAGCAAACAACAACTTTAAAAACATTTATTTTGTGGAAATTTTTATATTTAAAGCTCTCCAACATTTTTGAAAGCTTCTGAAACAGGTTCTAGCTTTTATGATTCTTTGGTTTATACATTATGTTTATGTTTACTGTGCAGCTTTGAGGAGAACTCCTCTAGATTAAAAGTCTGGGGCTGTCTTCTACCATGGTAATAAGTGAGAGCATGTGTTAAATAGGGGTGAAATGGAGGAAAGAAGGTGTCGTTTGGTTTAATCATGTTGATCAATGCCAAGATTAAGACAAAACTATTCACCACACACCCCTATCCGAAGTGACTTTTCCTCATAACCATAATAACCGGCACGATGCTAGGCGTGTGTCTGAAGGATTTCCCCCGAAAACTGGACGTTATGTTAGTTTTTGCTTACTCATTATGAAAAATTTGCTGAATGCTCTATTTTTAAATTAACAAAGTGATTTGAATGTAGAGTGTAACATTACTGTTTGCAAATTTTAGTAAATAAATTAATTAAAATAAGGTATCAATGAACAAAAAAAAACAGAGTTTATTCAGTAGATATTTTAAGCTAGTTTAAGACTGATTAATTTTGGTAAAATGTTTCATTTTAATTTCCTTGCTTTAAAATAATTTCACCCATAATAACTTCTGATTTGTTCCCAGATAGTTTGTTGATTAGCTAACGTAACAGCTTTTTTCCCCTTTAATTTTGTTGTTGCTCTTTTTCTTAACTGAATGTAAAGGTTAATATTTTTTTTATAGAAAAGCTTCAAGAATATTTTTCTCGCTTTGGAGAAGTAGTTGATTGTGTGGTTATGAAAAATAATGAGACTGGCAGATCTCGTGGATTTGGTTTTGTTACTTTCAAAGATGTAAGCTGCGTTGCTAAAGTGTTATCCAATGGACCACATGAAGTGGATGGCAGAACAGTGTGTTAAGCTTTATAAAAAATTTCATTTTTTGCATTTATTAAACATTCTTTATTTATTTCAACTGTCTTTTTCTTTTTTTTAAAGATTGATCCAAAAGTTTGTAGCTCAAGAGATTCTCAGCAGGTACATATTTTTCTGATTATTTTTTATTTGTATCTTATTCTATATATGAGGTTCCCAAATGTTTCTCACAACTTTAGTATACAGTGCCCGCCACCTATTATAACTCTTATCCTATCTGAGAACATTTAGATTTATTAGTAGACTGGCTTTATAAATCGTTTTGTCTACACTCGAGAACATTTCCAATGTTAAACTTCACAAATACACTAAAAGCTGAATCAATATTTTATCTAAATTTTCTTCTATTTTATTTTTACCGAATCTGCATTTGGCATCTCAATTAAGCATGAGCTGTATTTTTCAAATACGAAAGGTTTCGAAATATACTATACTTAAACTTGTCATAATGAACTATCAGTGGAGCCAAAATCTTTCAAATAATATGTTTGTGCTTAAAGTAGTTTTCAAAATGAAATATAGATGGCAGCATAAAGTCACGTGAATAGTAACTGTTAATTTTTGTTTTATGTATATGTAGTTTAGTTCTCTATGTGTTTTGTCTCAATAAAGTTGTGTAATTAAAACCGGCATGGTAAGTGATTATTTTCCCCGAAACGAAGAAACCTTTTTCAATATATTTTATCATATTGCAGCAGTATTGTTGGTAATAGCGATTGCTATAGTAGTTGATTTGCTTTATGAATTATTGACTAACCAAACATTGTCTCTCTGCAACATAATTTCTTTACAGTGAGTTTCTTCCTATAACAAAATTTTTAATTAAAACATTCAAAGTGCTCGCACTTACCATTACTAAAAATATGGGAACCCATGCTCTGTAATATTTATTCTGAACTTTAACCTTCTATCTTTTTTCTGAATTAGGGCAAGAAGGCAGGCCAATTCCCAAAAGTATTTCTGGGTGGACTACCTCCAAATTGTACGGAGACTGACCTCCGTAGTTTTTTCTCAAGATATGGAACTGTAAGTTAATTAAAATGTGTTTTTTTATACTACTTTTTTCTAATCTGTGGCATCTTTCAAGCTTAAGCTTAGCAATTAAATATAACTTTTATCCTTCCATTATTATTATAATTTTGCATTTTTATGTAATTTTTATTCCACTGCTTTCTTTTTACTCTTGTTTTATTCTCATGTAAAATGTAGGTGATCAGTGAAACAACCGTTTTGTCTTCTTTTTTTTTAACATTAAAAAAAAATTTTATCTATGATTTAAGCCAGGGGTGTCAAACTCAAAAGCTAATTTGGGCCAAATAAACAATGCTTAACTTTAGGTGGGCCGCAAAAAAATTTAATGTTCATAGAAACAAATATTTTTATTTTGAATTGTAATAAACATGTATAAAGTTAAATTATTGTTTACGTCCCGATACGTGACATTTCTTCTCTGCTGTTATCTTTTCGATTTCGGGAGAAATTTTATTGGCCGAGACTACTTTCAAAATTGACCCAATGTGAGCGTTATTAATAAGGTTTCGGACAGAGACTTATTTTCATTCATGACAGAAAATAATTGCTCTCACTGATAAGTACTTCCAAACTTTGAAGTGATTTCATACACGAATTTTCGAGTATTTTCAAACCTTGCTGGTAAATATTCGTGAAATTTAGGCACACCCACTTCACTGAATTTTGCCTTCAAATTTGAGTCACACTGAATCTCAATCACTTTCATTTGCATATAACTGGGTACTGAGTCTATATTTATTGAGAAAATCGAAGAAAACAAACAAAATTTGTCTTCCAAAGAATTAAAATCTTTAAACCTTGTTTCAAATTCTGTTCTAAGATTTGAAATTTTTTCTGCGTATTTTTGATACGATGCAGTATCCCTGGAATGGCAGGTGCCGCAAGCCAATTAGAATTTTACATTTTCGCGCGTACAATTTAAAATGATCCGTATAGTTTATAAATAAAGTGTATTATAATTTTATATGCTGGTTTCGTTTCTAATTCACATTTCTATTTTATTTTTACTTTGCTTCGGATATATTGACTGGGCCACTATAATGTTCATCTCGGGCCGTATTTTGTGTTAACACTCATTAACATCAATGAGTTATGGCAATATAGCAATAAGCCACTCTTTTTTCCAAGGGTGGCATCCAACTGTTTCTTTTCCTGAGAGGTACTTTAAATTATTCAGGAATTTTCATTAGGTACAATACCATAAAACATCTTATTGTTCACTTGGAAATAATTTGAAGATGTTGCTTATCATTATATTGCCCCAAGAATGATTATATGATTAGTATAGTATATTTTTTCTTCACTGAGTAATTTCACATTTTCTGCTTGAAATGCTGAGATGTTATTGATTTTTTAGTTTCAAATAAGCTTGGATATTAATAGTGTAAAATACTATGTGCCTTTCCTTATTGTCTTTTTAAACTCTTACAGTCATTTGAATTGAGTGTTTAGCATAATTTTTTAATGTCGTGCTAAAATTATATTTTAATCGAAATTAATTTTTTTCTCTTAAATATAAATACTTCAATTATTCTCATAAATAGATATCAAGTTAGAACCATGATTGCTTTAAAACTTAGTCTTTCTTCCACATTCTTCACTAAAAAGCTTCAAAATTTGAAACAGAAATAGTTAATATTATATTTATTTTAATCTACCTTTTTGATATTATCCTGTCTGAAAGTATATTTTAAGTTGTATTAAATTATTTTTTTAATACTTAAAAAATGATAAATTGTAATTGTATCAATTTCATAGTGTCAAGCTTTTTACAATTATTAATCAATTTTATTTATTCAATGCAGGTTATTGAAGTTGTTTTAATGTATGATCAAGAAAAAAAGAAGTCTAGAGGTATGCAGAAATTAATTTGAAAACTTTTTCTTTTTTTAATTATTAGGTTACATTTTTATTCTATGTTTCTAACAGAGCACTTTTTAAAATTAAAAATAATAATTAATTAGTTCATCAGTGCTTTAATTCATTAGTTCAAATAAATTTTGAGCTAAATTTCCCTTTTAGAATTCATATTTTACCTGATTAATGTCGTTTTAAACTGTTCTGCTAATTACATTCTGTTTAAATCTGGCTCCAGCTATTTATTTTTAAAAAAAGCTTTTTAAGCATTAGAGAATTGGTTAAAGTCACTTGTATATGAGCATAAATTTCCAGAAGAAATATCTTCTGCCTATATGTTAATCCATTTATTCAATGTCTTCTCTGTTAGACTTCACTCTAAAAAATATTTGATTTGACCCAATATGCAATCAGAATTAGACATTGTTACGCAATTGATTTTTTCCATCTTTTGTTTTTATAGAAAAAAATTTTCTGACAATTAAGGCTGTATCATGGTAAAATCAAATGATTTATCCAGCAAAAGTAAAGACTACTTCTTTTACTTGGCAGAGATTTGAAATTTTTTGGTGAAAATATTAAACTATATTTATTGATAAACAACTTTGGGACTGCCTGTATCAATAATGATTAGGCATGGGCATTTCGAATATGACTAACTAGGCTGTATCTTCGTAAAATCAAAAGCTATGACTACTTCTCTTCTTAACAAAGATTTTAACATTTTTCATGCAAGTTTCACCATATTAATGATGAACTCTTATGAATTTATGAGTTAACAACACTGGGGCTGCCTTAGGTTTAGTTCCGAAATTGACTTACATTTTTAAAATCAATTGGGGGAAAAAATAACTGAATGAGAGAATTGTATGATATGCTGCATTTTTGTAAACTGCAGAATTTAATTTTACTCAGTTGTAAAATTAGTTTCAAGGTTCATCAACAGATGGCAGGAATTGAGAATAATTATGAAATGCTTCTGAAAAATCACCATTTTTATGTGCATTCACCATATGAATCACCATTTTCATGCTCAAATACTTCAATTGGAATAATCAGTGATAAATTTTTAAAATAACAATGTTTTTTAGTTTAATTACATCTATAATTTTAAAGTATAGTTTTTAATTTCATTTGCCGTCATCTAATTTTTAAACAGGGTTCCCACAGTCCTTAAAAGTCCTTAAAAACTGCTTAATTTTTATTTTGGAAAATAAGAGCCCTTAAAAGTACTTAATTTTGGTATAAGGTTTTTAAAAGTCTTTAATTTTTTAGCATCACTAAGGATAAGCAGAATGTTACATAAAAATTTAAATCTACTCAACTAAGAGATCCTTAGCTTTTAATAATCATTTTATTCAGTTAACATTGCAACTTAATATACTGTTTTTTAATTTTTGTTCAATTTTTGGTTTGTTTAAAATTAGTTCATGGGTTTTCACCAGAATGTTTAGTAACATTATGTAAAGTTAATTCATAATAACATGTTTGGCTGGAAATAATTTTGTTAAAGTTCATCATAAAAGTTGTTATAACACATTTCCTGTCTAGTAGCGAAATATAAAAACTTCCTGTAATAATTTTTCAATATTTTTGCCAATTTTGTTTATTTACTTTTTTTTTTAGTATACATGAAAAAAATTGCAAATCTTAATTTTTGCACTTAATTTTACAATTCAATTTCAATGAAATCATTAAAAATGGAATACTAATTAGTTTCATATGTTAACTTTTATATTATAAATGATGTTAACTTTTAACAATCTGAAATTTTTTTCTTCAAAAAACCCAACCCGGGTTTGCAAAAATAGCCTGGTACTTCTTTGCCGAGCCCTGTTAATTAATACAATTATATCAGTGCGTACATTATATAATAAAATTATTTATTATTATTGTTTTTTTATTGATGTTTTTAGAAAGGTAAATGATTGGCACTGTCACTGGTGGCATAAGTCCTTAATTTTTCAAAAAGAGTGGGAACCCTGTTAAACTTGGTAAAAATAAATGATTTTGTCCAATAAGCAAGACACAACATTCTATCATCTTTTGATTCCAATGATTTTTCAAACTATCCTACCATTTTTGGGAAGATTTAATGTATATGAAATGCAAAAAAAAAAAGAAAAATTGAGAATTTAGAAAGTATATTTATGATGAGCTCAACTCTTTTGTCAGATGCAACCTTAGCTTTTCGAAACTTTTCAATCAATGAATTGCATTCAGCCACAGATATAACGATGTGTTAATCTCATAAGTTCCTTACCTCCTTAAGAGGAGGCTATGCCATGTAAGTAACTATTCGTGGCAAATTCTATTTTGAATTTTGAGAAAAGTGAGTTTAGCTTAATCTGGAGTTCAAGTGTTGTAAAAATTATTTTAAAATAATAAAATACTTTCAAATTGTTGTAGAATTATTTCCTTTCTGCTTAATGCTGAGTAATCTTGCGGTAATTTGTTTAGATTTTGATATTTCAAATTTTTTTCTTTCAGTATTTGAAACATCATGATTAACTTTAGGCTTACCTGAACTCTTTATTTTAAATTACTTATGTAGGTGGGTGAGAATTTTCCATGAAGGGTTTCTTTTGAAAAATATTTTTCAAAATATACAAAAAGTTAGGACGGAATTGGGCTGTGGTGAAGCATTTTTGCTATAATTTGAAATTATTACTTTTGCAGCATTTGAAATTTCATGGTTTACTCTTGGTTATCTTAAATTCACCTTTTTTTTTGTTTTTAAAATTTTAAATTATGGAGTTTGAAGGAAATTTTACCATGAAAAGTTTTTTTCCGCAATTAATGTGTCCTCTTAAAGTTTTTTTTCTTTCTAGTAATAATAGTTCTAATAACAAAAATTACAAAAAAAAGGTTTTCAATTCTTGATTTAGTTTACATTATTGTTTATGACTCCTGTAGATAAAGTAAACATTTATTGAAGATGCCATTTAAATTTTTTAAAAAAGAAAGAAAGAAAAAAACGTCTAGTTTATTATAGCTAAAATTGCTCATTCTTTTTTCTATGTGCTGTTTAATATTTTTATTTCTGTGTAGCTCATTTTGAATGTGTAGGTAACCACAGACCTGGAAATTTTATCTAACAATTTTAAAAGTATTTTATTTATAGCTGTACACAGTAAATAGATTGATAGGTCTTTGACTGCATCTCATTGAAATTCAGGTTACTAGTGTTAAAAAAATAAAGCAGTTTGTTTGTTTTAAATATTAGGATGATTTACACTATCTTTTTGGCTGAATATTCTAATGATTTTATCATAGATTGGTTGTATAACTTTTACATAAAAATATATTAATATTTATGATGTAAAAAAAGTTTTGTAGTCCTCTAATAAATTAACCTTTTGATTTATACCTTATTATTAAAAATAAGATTCATAGAAGATTTTGATGTTAAGATTCTCAAAAGTTCAGTTCATTTTGAGAATTTTATTAATGGAGTTGCATTAAAATGCAACAAAAATTTCCATTAGTTTTAAAATTATTCTTATTTTCAGTTGAATATTTTGATAATGTTATTATAATAGTGTAATTAACTGTTTAATATATTTATATTAATTAAATTTTTAATTAATAATTATGATTTTCACAATTTTCTTGTATTTAAAGCATGTATTTTATGTTATTCTGTTACTTGTTTTTATGTATTCTTTTTTTAAAACTAAGCTTATTTGCATTCAAACATTTCTCATTAAAATTATTTAAGTTAATTATTGAAATGTTTAGTTTTAAAATTGTAGTTCTAGTCTGATAGGTACTTCAGAATCATAGATATATTTATATTATTTTATATGTCTATTTAAATAACAAAATATGTATTATCTCGTCAAATTTGTTGAAGGGGAGAAAAAAAATGTTCTTAATAAAGTTATTTATTATTCAATCTCTGTATAGTTATTAATTTTGTTTTGGATGATTCATTTTATTTAATTTTAAACTTGTGGTTCTCTTTAAATGAATATAGAATATAATATGTCTAATTAGAATATATTTTACATTCTATAACTATATCTTTTATTGGAAGTTTTAACGGTTGTGGGGGTGACTAAAATTGACCATTTTTCTATTATTAAACAACAAATTGAGCGGTTTGTGAGTTTGAAACTTTCATATTAGTGTGTTACATTTAATCTTACTAACCATTGGAGTTCTGTGCATTAATTTAAAGAAGTTTGAGATATTTATCTGTTCTAAAAAATATAGATGTTAACTTCGTAAATAACCGATGTCAGATTAGTTTTGCCAAAATGATTAGGTAATGAAACAAATATTATAGTTGTAATTTATCTACTCTTTTAGAATTACTTTTGCAAATAAGCTTGGATTTATTGTAGTTGTACATATTTTTATCTTTGACTAGTTTCTTTATATTAGTAATTAAGTAGATACGACTTTTATCATATGGATAGGATTTGGATTTTTATCGTTCGAGACAGAAGACAGCGTGAAACAAGTATGCGCTGAGCATTTTGTGAAAATCAATGGGAAGAAGGTGGAGTTATTACCCTTTAATATTATATTTATTTATATTTTATATTTATTTGCTTTTTTATTGCAGTGAACATCTGGAAATCATTTACTTATGTTCAAGAAGACATAGTGCTTCAGTAATGGTGATATTTTAGCATTAAGTTTATTTTATACTCTATGGTTATAGCCGAAATCTAGTTTTATTTGCTGTATTTTTATTAATGGCTAGCATCTTTGCATATAAATGATTCACAAACAATATCTATAAAATATTGCATCTATTTCACAATATTTCTTTGTTTTCTGCTAATTTTTATCTAAAAAGTATAGCTATCACAAAGCTTTTTTAAAAAAAATGGTAATATTTGTGTACATTACAAATTTTAGTATATTTTTTCAACGAATAATTGAAAATTTCTCATTTTAATGTTTTTAAAATTGTAATTATGTAGCATGTTAAGTGATAAGATAGGAGTACCACATTTTCTTTCCTGAATTTTTAGAAATGTTTTACAGTTGAAAGTTTGTTTATTGAAACAAAATAATATTTTTTTTTCTAAAAAATTTTCTGCTTTTGATCTAACCTTCAAGATAAATGTAATTAGTAAAATATTAAGTACCTAATTTAATGTTTTACTAATTATGGTTCCTTTTTTGCCATTTTAGTCTGTAAAATGAGAATATTTGTCACTAAAAAATGGTATTGACTTTATAGGCTGGAGTTGTATATTTTTGATGATACCAACAGAACATTTGGTATCATTCTGCTCCTAGACATATTTTTTTGTTTTTTTTTTTTTTTTTGGCAGTTTGGTTGCTGGATACAATATTTTTGATGTACACAAATAGTAAATTTTTTTTAAAGCTCTGGTGATTAATTTATCTTTGGTATTGTAGCTAAAAAAGTTTTTTTAGTGTTTTTATTAGCAATATAGTTATTTAGCATACAAAATGAAGAGCTTTGAATTAAAAAACTATCAAAGACTATAAATTTGTACAGTACACCGTAAAATGATCGTTATAAAATTATATCTTGTATTTAAAGATTTCATTAATTTGAAAGACTAAATTTAAATTCTTAAAATATTTTGAAAGATTTTATTTTTTGAACTCACTTATGAACTTTGACTTTTTCTCTTAAAATTAAAAAACCTTGATTTAACTAAAGCAGTTATTGAATTTTTTACACAATTTAAACTTTAATTTAATTTACAATGCATTTTTTTAAATTAAATTTCTAAAATGATTAAATATTTCTTATTTACTTTTTCCATTAAGGATTTCTATTTTCTGGATTCAAACATTTTGGAATCTAAACTAATATTATGAATCTGAATGATTCTAAGTGTAATGTTAACAGAAGCAATTTTATTTTGGTTTTCAATAATGGAAATATTTTTGGATTTAAAAGTGAATATTGATAATTATATTCAATTTGTTTGGTATCTGGTTCTAACCGGTTAGTGTTAAATTTAGAATAGCATTTAAATGTCATTATTTTTATGAAAAATACAAGTATTTTTTTATGTACTATTTGAATTAGATTTTAATTTTACATTCTGTTAAAACAGACTAAGATGAATATGTATTTTTATGAAGTTGTTTTTATTAAATTATGTAGTTATTAATTTGTTTTAAAAGTACAAAGTGTGATAAAAACATTTTGGAACTGAATTTAACTAATAAAATTAAATTAGCTTAAAAGTACTAAATTTATAAGCATAATTTCAATATTTTTTATTTAATTAGTGAGGACATTAGTTGTTTTCTAACACAATTTTGTATTTAAAATTGGAAGAAAAAATATTAAAATTTTTTTTTTAGTTGTTTCTATTTTGTTCCAAAATTTTTATGGCATCTTGTAGAAAAGTTTCACTTTTTCCCTTATTACATATTCTGTAACTTTAGAATAAGTGTAAGAAAAGCAGTAGAGTAAGTTGTGATTGATTTTTGTAGTGTATATATTATGTTTATTTATGCACTTAGGTTACTTGTAAAGTTAGAATTATTGAAGTCTCAAGAAACCTTAAAAACCATAATAGGGAACATTAGTTTTATTTCCATTAAAGTAATTTGATAGCAATATTTTCTGAAATTATTTCGAGCTATATGCTCCAATTTTATTCAGAATAAAAAAAACATACTCCTTTGCATTTGTTAGTTGCCATACTGTAGATTAGAGATGTAAGGTTAAGGCCTTGTATAAATATAACAAAAAATTAAAAATTTTAATTTTTTTTTTCAATTAATAATAAAAATTACTGAATTGCTCTTTAAATTATATACTGTAATCAAATTCTCTTTCAAAAAAATCAGCATTCGATTATAAAAACTAAAATCTTATTTAAATGTTTGAATTTTCGATAGTTTTTCTAATTTAAATGATATTTTAAGGAATAAAAAAAAAAGCATTAGACTGTTTAAAAGAATTAACAATTTATTTTCCAAACAATTTTTTTTATTAAGAGTATACTTTTAAAAGAGTACAAAAACGTTAGTAAAGAGAATTTTTTATAATTAAAAACTGTGTTTATTAAATTAATGTTCTACACCTAAAGTCGACTATGACATTTTCTTCAACTCGAAAAGTAGAGTTATCAGTTAAAGTGATCTTTTACTGAATTCTTAAAATATAAGGGCATATCAATAAGTAATGCACATGTCAATTTTTTAAGTAAAATACTGAAATCTGGATAAAAATGATTTTTTAACTTCAACTGGCAAAAAGCAGTGATTTAAAAAGAAAGAAAAAAAGCTGTATTGGTTGCATTGATATGGATGAAAACCTGTAACATTCTGGGGATCAACAATAACAAATGTGCATTTACACCAAATTATGCATTATTTCCTGTGAGGATTATCTCCTCAGGAAGCCATGTGACTTGTCACTAAATTATTACTAGATAGGATAGATATTGTTGAAATTATCACTAGATAGCAGAAAATCTCCTGCATGGTTAGAAAATCATTGAGTAAGTCAGCTGCTGTTTATTTTAAGGTAATTTTTGTAGCCTTTATATTATGTAGATAACTCTTAGAATAGATAATTCTACTATACTAAGTATTTCTACTGTAGATAATGTATTTTCTGTAGATAATGTAGTTTTATGTTGATGATTCTACTAATATACCACTTCTTTTGCTCTTGTTCCTCTCGTGGGCATGTTTTTACAACATGTTTGTATTAGATTCTAGTCTATGTAATTATTCTGCTGAGAAATCTAGCAGAGGGATGAAGCTGTTTATATCTGTCAAACTTTTTGCTGCTCGAAATGCCGAACAATAGTAACTGGATTAGATATGGTATTAAAATTATCTTAGCCATGGTCGTGCTGTGAAATTTACGAAATTGTGGTTTGTCAGTGCTGTTTGCCATGCCCCTGTAATAAAAATAGTACTTGCCGTTTTTTCCCACCAGTCTTTTATTTTTGGTGTTGTAAAATATGTAAAAGAGACAAATGTGTTTAGTTACTGAAGTTTAATCTGAGAGACGACAACCTGTTAAAATTGATTAGGCCATGTAAGAAAACCATTAAATGTCATTGAATTTCATAAGGTGACGTCACAAAATGTCTTTGGATCTGCCTATGACACAGTTCGTGAGAAGCTAGGGTACAGGAAAAGTACATTCTCCCTAATCGCCAAAACACTTGTCTACATGCAGTGTTCTAAGAAACCAGTTTGTTACAACCTTTAACATGCATTTTAAAGTTATGCTAAGAAGAAATGAGTTTTTTTACCGCTGTTTCTTTTTGCCATTAATTTCTTTTTTCTTAAATTTGCATTATGTGCATTACTTAATGCTGTGCTCTTGTTAATTGTTGTATTAGATAAATTGAAAACATGGTAATTTTTTTCAGTGCAAAATATTTAATTTCTTATAACACTGTTTTAGGAAACGAAATTCCTTGTTATTATTTAATACTTTATTTGTGTTAATACTGTGTTTTTCAGATTGAATGTAAGCATGCTGAACCACAGGATAAAAAGAGGCCCTCACAAGGTCAAAATGCTGGCCCTTCAAATCAGTGGGGTGGTCCATCTATGGGCCCAGGATGGGGACCTGGTGCTCCAGCTCCAGGTGCACCTGGACCATGTGGACCAGCTATGGGTCCTGGTGGTCCTCCTGGACCTATGCCTGGTCCAATGGGTCCTCCAATGAATAATGGAATGTGCCCACCTGGTGGTTATCAAGGGGGGTGGGGTGCACCTCCTTATGGACCTCAAGGTCTGTAATATTTTTGCTGAAATTTAGTTTTATTTGTTACAGGGTAGACTTTCTGTTTACTACTTTATATTTTGTTTGTGTGAAAAGCTTAAGAATCTTAATGGACGATAATACTTGCAAAAGTTATAATTAAAAAAGGTTGTTTTTTATTTAAATCCATTTTTTTTCATGTACTAATCATGGCTATGATTAAATATATTTATAATACTGAATGCATTTTGAAAACAATGTATACTAAAGCTTTTAGCAGTTCTAAGAAAATGGTTAAAGTGATTATATAATTATTGAACCTACTCACTGGGAAATGTAAATCACAGCTTAGATTCAATTAAAGCATGAATTTAGATCAGGAACATAAAAAAATCAATTATTCTCAATTACTCTTGGCAAAGCAAGTCTTTCTTCATTAACTCAAACTACTTAAGTTTTGAAAGCATTTGTATTTTATTAAGCACAAAATAAAGTTGTATTTAAATGTGCTTAATGAATAGTAAATTATTTTTTGCACACCTAAAGTTATAATTTAAAAGTTTCACATCACTTTAATCCATATATAGTCTTTTTATGTTTTAATTTTTTTGGTAGATTAAACAATAATTTCCATACATTACCCTCTCACAGACCTGAGAATAACGATCTTAAGAACATATTTTTGAGATATCCTGATAAAACATATTTTAAACTTAAATCGATGATTTTTTTAATCAAGTCATTAAAATCATGCCAATTCTGATGCATTATTCATAAGAACTGCCTGTGCTAATTCTAATTTTTGCCATTCTGTAAAGTTTGCTTTAAAAAAAAAAAAAGATGTTCTACATTTAAATAAATGAAAGAAAAAAAATTAACAAGCTCCAATAGGTAATTTCTTGGGTACATTTACTTATAAATATTTAAGTAGAAAACTTCAAGTAGGAGATTTTTTAAAAAAAAAACGAGGATAAACATATTTTTTTTGTGATGTTTCGTTTGACAAGTTTCTGTGAAACAATATTTTATCAAAAAAGCATATATGAGTAAAATAAAAACTAAACCTCATTTGCAGAACCATTCTTTGAATTTAAATGGTAAAAAGTGATTGATATTTTGCAAAGGTTAGGATTAAATAGTTTGTGAGGGACCATTTTTGCCATAAAATATTTTGTGAAGGCTCTGTTTTTACAGTAAAATATCCGTGAAAGGTCCTTTTTTACTATAAAATATTTTGTGAAGCGTTCCCAAACCTTTTTGTAAGGATGAGCCATTATAGTTATAATAGTTTGTATGATTAAATGTAATTTCAATATGTAAGAGTTTGAAGGTGAAAGTTAATGTTATTGTTAGCTCATAGTAAAACTATTTAATTTCACATTTAACTTGTGGTCATCATTCATATGTGAATTGCCTCTCTTATTCACTTTATGAGAAATAAAATGTATGATGTATAAATAAATGTATGAAGAGCTGAAAAAGAAAGAGGGAAGGTTTTTAAAACAATCTTTGGGTTATACAGTAAATTTGAAAAAACATTTTATCTTTGATGAATAAAAATAAATTAAACTAGGTAAAAATATAATGATTAATGGAAAAAGATTTAAGTCATAAAAGTGATGTAAAAAAGAAGTAAAATATTTTTTCTACCCCCCCCCCCCAATTTTAACAATATTTTGAAATTCAAACAACTATGAATTTTTCCTTTTTTGAAAAAATATAATAGTCTTAGCCATGGACCATTTGACCCAACCCAGGACCATGCCCGTGCTCAGAGATAAACTTGTTTGGTGTAGGAATTGCAAGCTTAGGATTAAAATTATCTATAATTAACCTTACAGGGTAAAAATTTAGTAGGATAAAGGTATACTCACATGATAAAAATTATGAAAGATGCAACTCAAACTTATTGGGCATTTACTCCTGTCCACTAGTTTTGTATATAATAGGTTTTGTGTCCAAAATCATGTTTTACTGTCTTTTTTTCTTCTTTTTTTTATTGTTATGAAATTTTGTATTTCTTAATCCCCATTTGTTTATGAGATTAAAGTAAATTAAATTTAAAAACTTTTTTGAGTTACTATCCACGTTGAAATGTAATACTTTCATTTATAAATTTGGAAAACTTGTTTTGAAATTTTATTTTTAAGTAAGAGTTCATTTAAGTAATATAAATCTAATATAGATTTCATTTCACTTACAATTTCTTCTTAGTTAATGAAGTGCTATCTTTGTATTCATCTTAAAAGAAATTATTAATTTTGATATTTTTAATAACTTTAGTTGACATTTTCCATATAGAGGAATTTAGATTAATATAAACTCACTTGCATGCTAATTGTTTTGCTTAAACTCACAAATATTTATCTAATTTTTTTTATTCTCTGGTATGTTAATTGTAATTTTTTTAAATTTATTTTTTTGTAGGTGGCTGGGGACCCCAACCTGGTAAATATTATTTGTGCATGTATTTATAAAAAACTTTTTCAGTAGTTACAGTTTTTTCTTTTTTTTAGCAGATCTAAAAATTTAAAATGACTACAAAGAAACCTGTGTAAGTTGACCACTTAGGAGGCAACTTAATAGTCAACTTAGACTAGAGGTCAACTTTTAAAGGCCAATTTAATTGTCTTTCCCTATTTGGTACCTGATCATCAAGATCTGCTGAGACAGGCCAGGGGTTTGAGTCCTTTAACGTGCCTTCCACAAATTTTTCATTTCTAAAACAGTTTCTTCGTGAAATAGTTCTATAAAAACAAATTCTTCACAAAGGCCGCGGTTGAGATGGGCTGACCCGGTGAAAAGAATTGGATATCAAAGATAAATCGGAAGTCATTATGGAGAAATCTTCAGAGGAAGGCATTGGCCCACATTCGGCTGTCTGGCCGACTATGATGATAATGATAAAACTTCTTTAAAAGCCAAAATTTGAATATTGAGATGTTTTCCTAACAATAAGACACTTGTTTTCCTAATGCCACTGCACATTTTTTACACGTTTGGGATAATTCACTGCACGCGGGATGTTTATGCCATATTCTTTGCTCAACCCACATTGGTCATTATTCCTCTAGCCCATTTTACATAACCATTTTTAGAACATATTGTAATGGTCATATGGATTTCATATTGCTATTTGATAGAACATTTAATATAGCTGTTTTATAGGCTTAAGAAGCAGTTCTTTCCTCTGCAAAATGTTTTAAAATAATTACAGACATGTGTAATTTTCATTTCTTACTTTTTTTATAACAAATTTTAGGTGGCTATGGTCCTGGATATAACAACTGGGGATGTGGACCTGGATATGGTCCTGGCTACAATGGTCCTTCTGGTCCTCAAGGTTATGGTCAACCAGGCTATGGTGGTTATGGTATGTTTTCAAAATTTGTAATGTCAAATCTTTAAAATTAAATGCTCCGAAAAGAGCAAAATTTTAGGAATATTAGATGGGTAGGCTTGTAATCTCTTGTTTTGAGGTATTTAAAATATATATTTTTCAATAAGTTTTCATTGTTATTCACGCCATAAAAAAATATTCTATAATTTTGTGTTGTTTTTTTTCTGACAATTGTAATACACAGTGTTGTCCTTAGGCATTTTAGTAGGGCAGTCTACCCCGCTTGCCCTTTCATCCCTATAAATGCGCACTCCTTGCTTTTTTTTGTAAAAATAAGCTGCCACCTCAGAAAAGTACTTCCCTTTTATTTTTTCAAGAAAAGATTGTTTTTTCAATCATCTGTTTTAATAAAAAAGTCCACTTCTGATTTATTTAGTTATTGATAATTATTAACTTTAATTTTTAGTTTGATTGCTTAGTTTAAATAAAATTTGTCTAATGTTTTCTAGTTATACAGTTAAAATTTGCATTATATTCCGCCTCAGAGATAATCATGTCTTTTCAATAAATTTATTAGTAATTTTAAATGTTAAATTTTTTTTATTTTTAAGAAATGCCTTTTATTTAAAACTGAGCCTCTAAATGTTTATTTTCTTATAATTTTCAATTTAAGATATAAAGAAATCATTAAATTTGGTAATTAATCCTTTTTTTTTTCTTTTTTTTTTTAAGAAAAAGAAGAAAATTTGTACAGAGATTGTCATTTAGCATTCCTTTAATTATTTTTCTAAAGCTTAAAATGTTTCTGTTATTTTCATATTACATATTTTGATAAATTTTAACGGTAGTAAGTGCCCTTTCAAAATTCAAAGAGAGCTTTTCTGTGAGGAGGCACTCTGCCCTTTTTCATTCCTAGGGAGAACTCTGTGTAATATCTATAATAATTGTATGCATCAACTGTAATAATTATATGTAGCTGTTACAACCAATTGTACAGTAGTACTTTATTTATGTCGCATCAAAGCTGCACAATGGGGTATTGGCGACAGTCAGAGAAACATCCTTGAGGATGAATCAGAGGCATTGGTAGTCCAACGACTTTACTGTAGAATAGTTTAAAGAAAACCAATACTGCACACCCTAGATCCATTTACAGTCTGGTCAAAGTGGTCACACTGACCATTACCATTGATGATTGACTTTTGTGATCTACTGGGAACAGTGTCTTATGATTAGTCCACTGTGGCATTGAATCAAGCCTATTAGGGAATTCAATAAGTGTGATACACTTTTTATTTAGGTCTATTGTTGTCTATATGGCATTAACACTAAATTATCTCCAACAAATTGAAAACTTTTATTATTACAAAATGACTATAATTTAGGATAAAATTATTTGGGATTTAATTTATAAACCTGATAATTGGCAAGGAATTTGATTTTGCAACAGTTTTGCCAAGTTGACTAATTATGTTTTTAAAAGACTAAAATAATTTGGTCACTTTCTATGGAATGATTGCCTTTTTATGTTCACCATTAAAACGTTGCACTGTTAATTGTCATCTTACACAGTTTTCACCTTATTTGTTGGCAAATTTTAACAGTTTCTTTTTTCATATTGTTTCTTAGATGTAACCATATTTGCTGTTCAGCTGTAGTTTCAATAAATAAAATTTAATTTTGCTATATTTAACTAGTTTTGTTTCTTCATCGCAAGTAAAATACAGAGCGTTCTGAAATTCATTCGAAAAATTCTGAAGGTGACAGATTATTAAAAAAAAAAAAAACTTTTCTATAATGCTGAAACACATTTTCAGGATACAGCAATTCTTTGAATGAAGATTCTGATTTATTGCTTAAGCTAAAAGATTTTTCAAGATATGTAGAAAATGTTGGGAATTGTTAAAACCCATGAGTTTGGTTTGTTAGGTTTATTAATATGTGGGAATATCATATTATTGCATGATGCATTTATATGGTACAGTAGAGAACCAATTATACAGGATGGTCGGGACCATCGCTATCCCGGATGTCTGAATTTCCCGATTTTCTGAATTACCCAAAAAGTATCATTTATTGATGTTTTATAGAACCCGAATTACAAGGAAAAAGTGTAACACATTTTATAGTGGGGGGGGGAAGGCACTCCTAAATCCAAAAAAAAAAAAAAATTTACCAGAAAAATAACATTTAAAAGAATAAAAAATTCTGCAAGTTTAGACAAGAAAAACAAGATTAAAAAACACGATTTTTAATTAAAGCAGATGTGATTCCACATCAAGAAAAACTTGCAAATGATACCGCACTTCCAAAAAATCAGACTTGATTCAAAAGAAAAAGATTTTATTTTTATTAAGTGATGTCAAATAGATAAATGTATTTTTCTCTTTCATCGTCTGTTCACTGATAAGCATGTGCAATGCATTTTACCCTCCCTCTCGTAAATCAAAGAGAAAACGAAATCAGCATGCCACTCCTTTCAGTTTGATTGACGGCCTAAAAGAGAAAATAAAACTTTCCTCCCCTGCCTCCTCTCGATCTAAAGATCTTCAAGGTCACAGAAGAAATTACGTTTCTCTGGGTAAGCGGGAGGGAAAAAATCTCCCCTTTCTCACATTTTCCTCTACTCAACTTCAACGATGAGTCCAATTTCAGCTTATTTTCATAATCATTCTAGTTTAAAATGGCGGGCAAACCGAGCTAAATTTCTCCCGGTTACCTGGTTACCGGATAAATGGTTCTCTACTGTATAAAGGAATGATAGTTATTTCATATTGTAATAGTGATGTATACACTTTTAAAGCTTTTGAATGTTGTTATTTTTTTTGTCCACTAATATTATTTTTATGAATTTGCTATTTTTATAACTGATGTATTGTGGCTGGGGATTATTTTTTAAACCTGTTCCTTTATATAATCAGGGAATATTATTACTAAACAATGAAAATTAATACTAGAGAATGTTACAAATACTTAGGCGGTAAATTATATAACAGGCTTTTTTTGTCTGGTGTTATTATTACATGTTTAATTACATGAGTATTTTTCTTCTTTTTGTGAAATGTTAGGCTATGGCAATTATGGGTATGGTGGACCCATGCCCGGCCCTGGTGGTCCACCACCTCCCAATCCTCCTGCACCTGGAACTGAAAACTTTTCTGGCCCTGGAATGGGTGGTCCTCCTTCTGGGGGCCCCTCTGGGTCTGGTACATCATCAAGCTCTCAATCTGGGTCTAATCCTTCGGGTATGTTGAAAAAATGTTATTTTATTTATATTTTGTTTCAACAATTGTTCTCTGACTTAGGGTTTTTGAAGCTTGCTCCAAGATTTTCTGACTTTGCCATTGAAACAAGCAGAAAAGGTTTAATTGGTTATGGTTTAAATGTTAAAAGAAGAGTAGAAATATTCCATCCTTCTCTTTTTTTTGTTACAAACAAACGGATTTTTATTGAATTAATATGTTTTCGAAACAAACGTTTCATTTTTTTTAATTAAAATTGAAATTTCATATAAAATATACTTTAAGAAATTGAAAATGTGATTGGTAGCTTTTCAGCTGAACGATCAAACCAAATCCAGTAAAAATGTTCCTTAAGTTTCTAAAACTTGTGATTTTGTTATTCTTTATAATTTTTACTTAAGAAAAGGATAAAGACATCACTATAAATTGGATCTTATATGAAAAATCAGCTGTCAAAAGATTGTTTTTTAAAAGTTTCAGAAATCTTCGTAGCAGGCTCCAAATGCTTTGTGTCGCGAAACGTACCCATATTTTTCCCTTGGCTTTTTTTTATTTTATACTTCCCGCCTTTGTTCAAACTTTCAACAAAGTTGCCCCAAACTATCAAAAGAAAACGTTTTTTTTTTAATAAACAAGAAAAAAAATTATAAATAAATAAAACAAAATTTAATTTTTCAATTTTTATCTATACTTTTAAAATTCACTATTTAGGAAATGTGTTACTTAAAAAAGAAAGATAAAAATTAGGCTTGATGCTGTTTTTTGAAAGCCCTGTCGTCAAAATAATGCTTTCTCGCGAACAATGTGTTATTTTTGTAACTGCTGTGAATATTCAACAGTTGGCCCTCTATGCTATATCTGAAAATGATGCATAATGAAGTGTTAGTGATTTAATTTTTTTAATGTCTCAAAAGTCACTCCTACGCTGCATTATTTGGGCAGAATAAACGTTTGTGAAAATTAATTAGTGCCTTAGTTAGCATTTTAAATATTTTAGTTATCTATTCTGATGCCCAAATAATTTTAACTGCATGATGATATATATATATATTCATTTGGTTGTGATTAAAATATTAACAAACTGTTCCTACATAAAAAATAATTATTTATTTTATAAACAAAGAGATCTTTTTTTTTTCTGTTTGAAGAATATTGACATTTAAGGAAGTGAATGAGAGGCAACTACAAGACTTCATGATTTGGGCAAGCAGGAGGCAGAAATGAATTGTTTTAAAAAAAAATGTTTTGATTGAAATTCTATATTTTATCCCTTATATTTATTTTGATGAATTGACAGCTGTGATTTAGTGAAATCTTAACAGCTTAATTTTAGGATTTTAATTTTCTTTTTTAAGGTTAAATTAGTATTCATTGTTAAGTTTACCATTTCTTATTACTAGTTTTTTTTATCAATTACCATTGTATCTTCAACGATGAGTATATTTAGTAAATTTCCATTTATGTTATGTTTTATTGATATTTTGATATATTTTCTCATAGGAATGGGAAATTATTCTCAAGAACCATCTAACTTTGGTCCATCTAGACCAGGATATGGTCCAGGTATTTATTGTCTTTTATTTAAGCAATAAAATAATATTTCTTATGTTTTCAAAGTTTCAGTTCCTGAAGTTACATAAAAGTTTTGATTTATTTATTTCGTTTTATTTTGATTGCAGTCTTGAAAGAGCATTAGAATTTGCCTATTTTTTAAGGCTAGGAAGAAATATTTATTTCTGAACATTTTGGCTTTGAATAGATCACTAACTATTATTTGTATGTTGTAAATCTCCAAAATGCATTATACATGTTTTTTTTTGTTGAAAATATTGGTCTTGTGATAGTTTTGTCCAAAAAATTAGTTTATATTAAGTTTTAACAGCACGTATAAATGTTTCGTAATATATTTTATGTATAAAAATATGGCATAATTGAAAAATTTATAAAATCTATGCCATTGGTTACAGAAATCAGGGAAATTTTTGAATGGTCGCAATCAGGGCAACAGGTAGACTTAATATTAAAAAAATTCTGCCATGGATCAATTTTTTCGTTAAAAATATGAGTGCATTTTATTTATTTTTAAAAGTAGCTATGGAATTGTAACTATAGAATATGTATTTGAGGCATATTCTATAATCTGAAAATTACTTTGTTCATGCTTGATTCTTAACATTAACATTTTAGAAATTAATCTTGTAATATGCTTATCATATTTTGAGAACCACTTAAAAAAAATACTTTATCTTATTAATATCAACAGTTTTTTTTAATTGCTTCAAATTTTGAATTTTTGAAGAAGAAAAAAAAGCCATGTGGTTTTACAAATTAGACACTGTTAAAAATGCTACAGCTAGCCACTGACAAGTAGAAAAATTTCATGATTTTGCCCTATTATCTATCACATACATACACTCATACTTTTTCTCATACATTAAAAATATTGTATGAAAACTTATTGGACACTTTGTACAAATTGATACAGTATACTCTCGATATCTGGAAAAACCTTGTTATGTCAAAAAAATATTTTTCCCCTTGGCATTATCTGTCCACCCAATGTTAATTTAAATTATTATGTCAAAAAGTTTATGTCAAAAGTTTTTCAAATTTTTTTTTTTCTTTTCGAAATGGAGATTTTTTCTAGAAAAATCACAAGTTCATTATAAACCAATTCTTTTCTATTTAAGGCAAAATTTTTCTTGTCTTACTTTTAAAAATAAAATTGTCATTGTTGTGTTGTATTTAGACTTATAGTAAACTGTCATTACAGAACAAAACCCGTTATCCGGAAATCGGAAAACCAAAAAACCGGAACGAAATTTGATAAATTTTCCCGCCATTTTTTTTAAAAAAAAAAATTTTTTTTTCCTAAGATTTTAGGATTTTTCTTTCTTTTTTGAAAGATGTTTACCTTACCATCATTTTATAAATAATCATTAGTGTATTACTTCATCGTTTTTTCTTCTTTTTAAGATTATTTCCAAATACTTTTTTTTTTAGTTGGGTTTAACAATAAAAAAAACTGCTTTTTGTAGCGATTCAGAAAACTGGAAAAATCAGTTATCTGGAATAGCGATGGTCCCGATCGTTCCGGACAATCGGTTCCCTACTGTATTAATATTTTAAATTTTTTTTTTTTATTCTTTAGGACATAATAAGTTCTGAACTTGTTTTCTCAAAAACTCGCTTTCTCAAATTTTTTTTTTTTTAGCATCCCTTCAACTTTGAGATATTTAAAGTATACTGTGTTTTAAAACTATAAACTTACTTAAAACTGATTTTCTTAATTTGTTATTTTTTTCTACCTTTTGCGCATAGGTTATGGTTCTGGTCCAAACAATTATAATTCTGGAAATTATCCCCCACAAGGGAACTACAATACTCCAGTGGGAGGTCCTGATTCCTCTCGTGGTTCTGGTCAAGGTCAAGGTTACCATCCCTATCGACGTTAAACAAAACCCATGTAGGAGCAAACCGTTTTGTATATTGACATTGTTGTGAAGTTTTTGTTTTAATACGGTTTTGGAAATCATTGTTTCATTTTTTTTCAACGCACCGTTGTTTTTTATGCAGTGTGACCTTATATATCCTCTGAGCAGGTATATGGTAATAAATTTGTAAACAATCATGAAAACCCATGCATCATTATTGAATGTAAAGAGTAATGTTTTGTTAGATCAAATCATTGTTTCCCTTCTTTTATTTTGAATCCAGATATTGTCATATTTTCATCATTGCTAATCTACAAAATTGTTAATTATATTGGCTGTCTCATGTATGGATTTTAGTTTAAATAAATAAAAAAAAACTTTGTAAAATTTTGTGTTTTGCATTTATTTAGTAAGCTTTTGCATGTCTGCCACTGACGGCTAATTTTAAGAAAAAGTGACTATTTTTTTCCCAAAATCTAGCCAAAAATACTTTTTTATCTTAGCTACTAAAATGATGAAATAAAAGCTTATAAATAAATTTAAAATAAATTTTTTATGAGTAAATATTTTAAAAAAAAATTTTTTTAGTCACCACACATGACAAGGATGATCATCATGCTTTATTTTTTTCCTACTGCAAATAAAGAAATTATTTCGCCTGTTTCAAAAAGCTACTGTTCAATATATCTTAGACTTAGAGGTTGAGCAGGTCTGACTAGCAAGGCACATCGACCAGAGGTCTATTGTACTCAAACCCTTAAATCATGATTAGCATGAAAGCCCTATAGCTGAAATAAAATTCAGCAAGTACCTTACAGGAACATCTTGTAGTTCCCAGGCATTGACGCTATGCTGCCCTCAATGCTCAATTCTTTGAGCAGAATAGACCTCACAATCACAGAGTTTGTGTCGTGATGTCTCTTCTTCAAGATGACAACCCCTACAAAGAGAATTGGATTCTTTTCCCATTATGTATAGGTGTCTTCTGAGGATGCAGTGTCCAGTCAGAAGACCAGTGATCTTCCTTAAACTGTTTCTATTAAGCTTTAAAAGCTCTTTTGTGGTATACACTAGGACAGTCACGATTTAGCTCCTTACCTTGTCTCTGACCGTCAGCAGCGCGACATTGCTCGTGGGCAATTTTGCCATAGAGCTTGAATATGGATGCCAGAAATGAGGTGGAAGAGATTCCCAGTGCAGGTTCAGGTCCCCAGAAAATTGCATTAGAGCCAGCCCGTGCCACTTCATCAGCTAGCTCATTACCACTGGTACCCAATGCAGGGATACCCTGCTATGGGTGGATAGGTCACAGAGGACCGAGAAGCATTCCCACACTAACAAAGAGGTGAATTTACACCTTGACAGTGATAGGAGAGCAGCCTGACTGTCGGAACAGATGCGGATAGTCATATTTTGATATCCCTTGTCTAAGCATATCTTGCAGGACAAGATAATGGCGTGTGAAGGCTACATAGCTTATCTTAGATGGATTGATAGATAAACCTGATTCAGAGCACCATCTAGATACTTCTAGAAGTGCATTATTCATGATATCAGAGATTGTTTTACCATGTTTACCTCTGACAACAATGACACCGTCATCAGCGTACCCGATACAGGGTATGCCAAGATCAGTTAACTGAACTAACAAGGAGTCCATTACCATACACCATAGGATAGGGGACAAAACCCCTCCCTGGGGGCACCTTGCGATTGCATGCACTTTCCTGCTTGCACCCAATAAAGAGGAACAAACATACCTAGAGGATAGCAAATTAGCTATCCACCTGGTAATTATTGAGTTTATGCCTCTGTTCCTCTCAAGAGGGACTTTATCAAACGCACCTTCAATATCAATGAATACCGTAAGAGCCACCTTATTTGTGATTGATTTCTCAAGCAGGTAGGAGACCTCGTATAGAGCAGTGTCTGTTGACTTGCCTGGTTGATAGGCAGGACAGTGGCCTATCTATGAGCACAGTGTCTCTGAAGTATCTGTCAATTAGCTTTTCTATAGCTTTCAACAGACAGGCAGTGAGGCTGATAGGTCTGAATGATTTAGCCTCAAAGTAATTTTCCTTACCTGGTTTTGGTATGAAAATCACCCTGGTATTCCTCCAAGAGTGAGATATATGCCCATACCCAAATGCTTTACAGGATCGAAAAATCCTACATAGAATAGGGGCTAGTATATTTACCCCCTGATAAGCATCATTGGTATGATGTCATCCATGCCTGGTGACTTGTAGGGCTTAAACGACTTTATGGCCCATACAACCTTCTCATAGGAGACCACCATCTTGGCGGCCTTCCTGTCATTCTTACTACAAGTAGTTGTGGGAATAATATGCAGATGTTCATTCTCCACAGGATGAGATCCAGGAAAGTGTGCTTCAATTAGTTCTCCAAGAGCCTCTTCCCCTGATTCACTGTATTTTCCGTTTGTAAGACGGATGGCATTTAAATTGCAGTTAAAGTCTTTAGTAAGAATTTTTGCTATCTTCGCGGTGGCAGAAGTATTGTTAATACCGTCGCAGAAAGTCCACCAAGAGCAACGTTTAGATGCTCTGATAGCCTTATTATAGGCAGTTAGAGTGTTTCTGTAGAACTGCCACTCTCCAGATTTCTTTGCTCTGTTAAATAACTTCCTACCTTTCTAACGTAATTTACTAAGCTCAGAGGACCACCAAGGAACTCGCCTTGGGGAGCTAGTACACGTAATATTACATGATATGAATCGAGTATGATATGTTGCACTTGGTCAACAGTCCACTCCACATCATTAACATTATTGTACTTACCTATCTTAGGTGTTGATAGAACCAGATGTTAAGAGCAGCAAATGTTCTACACCCCCCCCCCC